TGTGTGACCTATCCAGACTACGGGAGAGTTCTCTCTGTCCTTTTTTCCTATCTACATATCCCTTTCTCCCTTCTTCTCCAGCCATTCTGTTCTCCTTCCCACTTGCTTTTCCCGTTTTATTTTTCAAATAAAACATTCTGTGCCTGTTGAGTCTGCTCTGTCCTTCCAGCCTTCTTTGATTTTTCTCTTTATTTCTTTAAAAATTATTTATTACATTTGTGGGCGGTGGGGGGAATTCTCAAGGTCGTTTTGCTGTTGTTGTTCTGCAAAACTTAGGACACGCCTTGCCCCACCCCAGGTCTGCCAATTCCTCCCTCTTGTACACAAATACTATGTTTAGCTACAAAAGCATGGAAATCGCCCTAACGGTTCAGAAAAAGCGTATAGCATTGCTCATAGCCACCCGACATGAGTTCAACTTACCCTCATAGAAAGTGATAGAAATACACTGTTCGTTAGGTCTTGGGAAACATATATTTACTTTGTCAGCACAGCCATATTCGGGGGTATCCCGCATACAGTAGCGGCACTTCAGGCTGTAGGCTGCAATGGCAAAATGTTGGAAATGGCATTCAAAACAGTATGACCCCCTACCCTCCAACATTTCTCCAATGAAAATAGGGATGTCCTATTCTGTTGTTGTTGTTGCTGCTGCTGCTGCTGCTGTTGTATTTATACCCCACGCATCTTACTGGGTTGCCTAGCCACTGTGGGCAGCTTCCAACATATATAAAAACATAATAAAACAGTAAACATAAAAAACCTTCCTTATACAGGGCTGACTTTAGATGTCTTCTAGAGGTTATATAGTTACTTATCTCCTTGGCTTGCGCCATACCCTCCAGCATTTCTCCAATGAAAATAGGGACGTCGTAAGGAGAAGCAGGAAAACATTCTGGGATCAAACCAGAAAACGGGGTGGCTTCTGTAAATCTGGGGAAAATAGGGACACTTGGAGGGTCTGTGATTTTCACTGAAGACAATTGTAGGGTTGTAGGCTTCTAGATGGGAGGCCTACCGCTAACATTTTGATTATTTATTTGTATGGCTCAGTTATTCCATACACAGCTGCATAGTCCACATCCTTGCCTAATGCTACATGTGAATAACAGCACGGGCGTGCAGCTCAAATGTTTGTGTTAGTACTGGTACTAACCAGATCATACATTTGTTGAATGCGCCATGTGAACACCCCGTACAAAACGAATCTACGTGTGTACAACTAGATGCTTGTAAGGCAAGGATGGGGACAATGCAAGTGTTGCTGCTGCACTGCCCCTGCTGGTGGAATCCTCTTTGGCACAAAATGGCTCCCAGGGCAAAATAACCGTCAGGGACTGGGCAGAGGAGGAATGGTGGAGACCGCCTCCCCAGCCTGACCCTTCCAGAGAAGAGGAAGACAGCTCAGAATTACAACAGGGGTTTGAGGGAGGTCACAGCTCAGAGGCAGATGAGGGGGAAAGCTGGGAAATAATGGGAGAGGAGAAGGAGGCAGAGCTGGAGCAGCTGGCTGACATGCTATCACTAGAAAGCATTCCAGGCCCACCATCTCCCAAAAGCCAGCGAGCCTTGAAAGTAGGAGAGCAAAGAACTCAGAGACAGAGGGCACTTGTCAGCACCCATAGGGATGATGAATGAGTAAGTGGGAGAGATGGGGAGAGGGTGGAGTCACTCGGGACAACGCCATTATCCAAGAGGCTGGGTTCTGTAGCCTCTCTGTGTAAATACCGAATAAAAAGCAGGCGGTAAGAACATTCCTTGTCTTTGTACGTTCCGGGGCAACCGGCAGTGGGAGTCGCTGGCAACAGCCTGACAATAACACAGGGGGAACCAGAGCATTCACCTTACAACCCTACAATCGGTAGGTGTTAGGCAAAAGAGAAGGTATCATGGAACCCATGGTGCAGAAGGCACCAAGACTAGGGGAATGAGACAGAAAGTGTTGTGGGGCTGGGCATAGGGGCAGGGTCAATCTGATTTCAGGTGTGCTTGGAAAGCAGTTAAGCCCTGTCCCAGTGTTGAGGGACGTGGCTTGTTTTATTTAGTCTGATTCAGCCCAGGTGGGAGTGGGGAGTTTGCCGATTGCGATTTGGAACATACCTGAGAGGGCAAGGCAAAGCAGAACACAGGCTGTGAAGGAGAAACCCCTCGTCATGCTGGTCTTCCAGGCTAGATCTCTGGCAGGCAAGACGCTGTGGTGAAGAAAAGGGAGGGTATTAAGGTAGTAAAGTAAAAAAGAAATAATTAACATGTGTGCTCCAGACGGAGGAACGATGACTCCACCCTCGTACCTAGCCAAGGGGTGGAGGAGGGATTCATTACTGGCTTAGCATGGCTGCTTCGACTTTTGGGGATTCAGTCTTCTCCTGGATACTTGTGTGTGTATACCCACAGGAAGAGGCCCCCAGGAGTGCATTAAGGCCAACCGCATTAAGACCAGTGGTGTAGCATGGGGGTCCCACTGGGAAGGTTGCCCTGGGCGCAAAATTGCTACAGTCACAAAATTTCAACACCTGGTGCTGCCTCAATACAGTTGCATGCTTCCACTGCTGGGCTCCGTTGAAAACTGCTTCTCCATGCGAACCAGGAAGTGAACCTCTCCAGACAACGGAACGACTCTTCTTTTCTTATCTCTGCAGCTGCTATCTCCTGAGTAACGCAGATGCCATTAGGCAATTGGATGTGCATGTGTACTCCATCTGTTTCCCTCCCACCCACCCACTTATGTGCACAGCCCCGGGGGCTGGCAACCCATGCTACACCACTGGTTAAGACAAAGGAAGCTGAATCTTCAAAGTCTATGCCTATACCTACCCCTGGTTTTCCCCTACTGCAAAATGCTTCCTTTCCATCAAGCTGCAGTGGTGACCCCTACTTGGAGGCTGCTCTTTAGCCATGAGATACGGCCATCCCAGAAGCAGACAGGCAGCCATTATTCACCCTTTTATTTATTTCAGAATATTTGTAAGCTGCTGTCTACACTTTCTGGTGGTGGCTCTCTGAGGTTTCAGGCAAGGAGCCTTTCCCAGCCCTGTCTGTAGATGCTGGACGTTGAGATTGGGACCTTCTACATGCAAGGCAGATGTTCCACCACTGAGCTATGGCTCTTCCCGTAGAATCTTAGCAGTGTATTACAAAAATAAAAATGCATTATTATTATTATTATTATTATTATTATTATTACTACTACTACTACTGCAAGTCTGCTCAGACATATAGTTTAGATACCTACACTGGTTTTTTAAGTTTTGCTGAGGCTAATGTGTGTTTTAATGAACCCCCTTTTAATGATAGCCCTGTGGATTTGGGCTGTGTTTTCTCTACAGCAGTGATTCCCAAACTTGGGTCTCCAGCTGTTTTTGAACTACAGTTCCCACCATCCCTGCTCACCGGTTCTGCTAGCTAGGGATGGTGGGAGTTGTAGTCCAAAAACAGCTGGAGACCCGAGTTTGGGAAACACTGACCTACAGTTTTATTATGTGCACCACTTAGAGAGCTCTTAGTGGTTTAGAAAATCTTTCTCAGTAAATAAACAAATAAGAACAGTGCCTCGAAGAGAATTTTTATTTACACATCACATGCGCTGAATGCAGTCTGTCAGCTAGAAGTACACAAAGGTTTAACCAGAGCAACCCATAATCTTTTATGTGACCTCAGTTTCATTTGAGGCACCTCGGAGAGGTTTGTTCTTGATGTAGGAGCGGAGCCTTGGAATGGCATTTGAGGAACTGTACTTCTGAGCCACCCCCAGCTCTCTGCAGTTCAATCATTTGGAAGCTGCATGTGTACCACACATGCCCTGACTTTGAAATAAACTCAAATTGTTCTGGCAAACTGAGCACCCTTCATAGACATTGGAGCAACTGAGCGTTCTGTTCTAGTGGTGGGTGAGAATAACTGGCTTCTGGGAGATTTCAGCAGTTGCCTCAGGAGCATTTGATAAGCATTCCCAGGACCAACGGAACTGTGGAAGGAGAACAGATCAAAAGGTAGGGAAAGAACAGCAGAGAAGATCCACCAACCACAAGGTGAGAACGCAACATGGGCAGAACTTGTGTTTGAATAACCAATACATTAATTAATCCGGACCAGAAATCTTCAGGAAAACAATGCTAACACTGACAAAATGGCTCTAGACTTCACTTGGCATCATCCATTCCCCCGTGATGTCTACATCAGCTTGCCTCTCATCCTGATTTCACAGAGATGTATGTTTCCCTGTCCCTGTTCTGGCCATGGGGACACCGTGAATGGCAATAATTCTGGGGCATGGAGAAACTCCTCGTGGAACTACCAATCTTATAAGTCATGTAGACCCCATGGATCTAAGTGGATCCAGCATAATTAATCTGAGCCTTGAAAAGCACATAGAGATGAAAGAGGAAGTGAGAAAGAGTGTCATTCTTCCAACTTCCTCTTTCAGCTCTATGTACATTCTGCAGATACCCAGAGATTCAAATTCCACCCAGATCACAGTGCTCAAGCTATGCAAGGAGGGAGGGACAGCACCGGGTGGGAGTTAGCTTCCTTCCCTGGTGTTACATAGTAACATAGTAACAATGAGAAATTAATTGTCCTTTAGCTCCAAGGCACAGCTCCTCAATATATGAGGCTTTGCAAAATTCAGGAAGTGAATTCAAGCTGCCAAATAACCTGTTGCTTGCAGAATAAAGCAAAAGTGATTGAAAATAAGCCACTATCATTCATAGCTGCTGGATATGTCATTTCCCCCCTCATAATTAACATGTGAATGTTGTGGAGGGAAATGAGGTGGCATTCGAAAATGATGGTCCCAATGGCTTATCTTGTTCTAACCCGGCATTAAGTTCCATTTCTCATTCAGCATCGTCTCACAATGAAGAGCAAACCGTTATATTTGCAAATGGGCACCAATCCTACAAAGTGAGGGCTTTGCTGAAGTGTTTCTAGGCAAGTCTTCACCCTCTCTATTCCATTCGCACTTGATGTAAGCTATTTTTGCATTCGCCTTTTTTTTTTTGGTTAAGTTCTGGTCTCATTCTTCGTATCTTCCTCCAAAATGGATTCAGAAGAGTCTTCTTGGACTTTTTCTGCAAAATAAAAAAGCAATTGGAAAAATGATGGTCCACAGAGAGCCAAAGAACTCAACTTCCATTTTTAACTGAAATGCATCCACAGTGGACAGCCAATCACTTTCAAGCAAAAGTTGGGGGGGGTTCATTCCTTTCCTTCTGCTGCTCCCTCCTTGCCCAAGTTTTGATAATTTTAAAAGGGGTATACCTAAGACGACAGGGACGCTGGTGGCGCTGTGGTCTAACCCACAGAGCCTAGGGCTTGCCGATCAGGTTGGTGGTTCGAATCCCCATGACGGGGTGAGCTCCCGTTGTTCCATCCCTGCTCCTGCCAACCTAGCAGTTCGAAAGCATGTCAAGTACAAGTAGGTACTGCAAAATAGGTACCGCTCCGGCGGGAAGCAAAACGGTGTTTCCGTGCACTGCTCTGGTTTCACCAGAAGCAACTTAGTTGTGCTGGCCACATGACCCGGAAGCTGTCTGCGGACAAATGCCGGCTCCCTCAGCTTATAAAGCGGGTTGAGCACCGCAACGCCAGAGTTGTCCGCGACTGGACCTAATGGTCAGGGGTACCTTTACCTTTTTATACCTAAGACGGGAAGGTAAGCGGCATTTCCATGCGCTGCTCTGGTTCACCTGAAGCGGCTTAGTCCTGCTGGCCACATGACCCGGAAGCTGTACACCGGCTCCCTCGGCCAGTAAAGCAAAATGAGCGCCGCAACCCCAGAGTCGTCTGCAACTGGACCTAATGGTGAAGGGTCCCTTTACCTTTACCTTTACCAAGATGGTTACATCCCGGTGGGGTAGAGCGAGAGGTCAGCAGGAAGGAGCCAGGGAGAAGCAGGAGGGAGTGGAGGAATAGATAGCGAGAGGTGGCGGTGAAAGGAAGTACAGGAAGCAGACATAAGCCAAGGTGACTAGGGAGAAGGGCTGCCATTGATGCAAAAGAAGGCAATAACTCTAGGGAAGAGAGAAGAACTGGCAAGCCCTTCACCAAAGGAGCCATAAAAAGAGAGCTAGATGAGAGAAAAGGCCGAAGGGGTGGACTAGGGATGGAGGAATATGTCAATTTCAGTTTCTCCTTTTTCCAATTCTAAGTTCATTTCTCCACATTCCCACACCAGTTTGCATTGCCCCCCCCACACACACACACACAATAAAACACCAAAAACAAATTCCTCATGGAAACGCATCAATATTGTAATGAAGATTTCTCCTAATGTACGCAATTCTACAATACAATTTGCCCCCAAAACAATGCTATTTTTAAGTTATTTGCACTAATAGATGCACACTTCCTTCTAATGGGAACAGCTGGATAACTGCATTACAAAATTCAAAGAAGTGCAAATTTTGAAGCGTGGCTGTGTTTTGGTTCTCACATAGTTTCTCACATAGGCTCACCATTCAATGTGAACTTTCTCCCCCATCTCTAGAGGCGAGAGAAACACTACCTTAGCAGGAAAGCTGATTCTGAGATAGACAGAGAGGGCAGAACCTGTGTGCTTTATTGTCCACTGGAAATATTGCCAAAAAATGCTACAAAGAGGAACTGGCATAGGACCCCACTGCAACAACACTATAAATGTGACAAGACCTAAGTCAGTACTAACTGTTGCTGAACTGAGCCCAAACTTCTTCAGCCAAAGGACCTGGACTTACTTGAGAGTGTTGAGTTGAATATATGGGCTGCCAGGAAATCACAGTGGTGGGCAGGAGACGGCTTCTTGATCTCAGGTGGCCCTGCGCTGATGTGGAAGAAGTTCTCCTCTGTGGCATTATAGAGCGGCCATTGCACCTCATTGGGCACGGACCCAGTGGGGTTCCTGTGGAGGAAACAAAAAAAAAACCACAGTTCAGATCCAAATCTTCTTTTTAAGCCAAAGGCCATTGTGACGTTAACATATGAGAGTGCTGGAGGTGAAATAGTTAAACAAGTTACCCAATCAGAACCCAGGGGGTGGAGTCAGAGGGACTATAAAACCAGCTCTGGGAAGGACGAAAGGGGAGTTCATTGGGAGTTGGATGGTTGGTTGGAGTGGGAGTGAATTGGGATGGAGTCTGTGGGTAGGTTGAGTTAGTGTAGTGAAATAAGCTGAGACAGGAACAGTTAGGAGATGGGAAGACAAGTAAATATCTGAGAAGCGGTTTAGTGAGGGAGGGCAGGTAGCAGAAGTTATAGGTCTGGATAGGCACCCTATGATTGTAATTGACCGATACCATTTATGAAACCACACGCTTCTTAAACTGCAATAAATAAACAGAAGTTTATGTTCCAGTTTAAACCTGACTGGACTCAGTATTGTACCAGGTAGGGCCTGGGTGGTGGCAGCGAGAAATCAAGTGGTGGCACAGGGATCAAAATCTTCTTTTTAAGCCAAAGGCCATCAATAGCACAAAACAAAGAGAGAGAAAATCACTCGTAGCATTATAAAAACAAAAATGGCTCATCTACACTGCAATAATAACCCTTGACCATTAGGTCCAGTCGTGACCGACTCTGGGGTTGCGGCGCTCATCTCACTTTATTGGCTGAGCTCACCCCTCACGGGGATTCGAACCGCCGACCTTCTGATCGGCAAGTCCTAGGCTCTGTGGTTTAACCCACAGCGCCACCCGCATCCCACACTGCAATAATAGCAGACTACAAAATAAGTGAAACCCTATCATTTGTCATTTGACTCAATTCCTCAGGGCCCCGCTTTCATTGCTAGGAATTGTGCTGGCAGTCAACCATATGAGATTTGGCCCATTCCTTTTTATTAGATGGATTGGAGATAGGAGGCCAGCTATATCAAATATGATCCTGTGAGTCTAGCTTCCCAGTAGGTCCTCTTCTGCCCAATCCATTTTGTTCCCCAACCTCTGTGCTTTGGAATTCTGTCTCGGCAGCTATATTTTTATTTCTATCCCTTCTTTTCACCAGATCAGAACCCAATGTGGCTTACACAAATAAAAAAAGCAGACACAGATAAAATACAATATCATATAAAATATAGTCGTTAAAAAGTAATTAAATTCTAATAGAATTAAAACAATACATAAGCAAATCAATTGGGTTACAGATAGTAAAAATCTATATGGAATACAAAGCGGTGCAATGTGAAATACACTGTAGCTGGTGGTTCACACTGACATTAGCCCTGCTCCACAGAAATTATTATTATTATTATTATTATTATTATTATTATTATTATTATTATTTATTTGTACCCCGCCCATCTGGCTGGGTTTCCCCAGCCACTCTGGGCAGCTTCCACAGAAACCAAAAATACACTAAAATATTGCACATTAAAAACTTCCCTGAACCTTAAGATGTCTTCTGAATGTCAGGTAGTTGTTTATCGCTCTGATTGCCCTAATGTACCTGGAAAAGGAACACTATTCATTTTTGCCAAGGTAAGTATTGCCCAACACTTTGATTATGTGCTTTTTGTTATATATGGCAGGAGAGAGCTCCTAGCATTCAGTCATGCGTAGAAGGTACATGTTCTTTGTGTATTAATCTCTGGCAACAGTTCCTGGAAATCTAAATCAAAAAAAAGTTGCCTCACTAAATCCGAGGCTTTCTTTTCTCCTTCCATCAACCCAAAAATAAAATAAAATCAGATGAGAATCCTGCTATGGTAATCAACTTGTGGCCTGGAAATCACAGTCATATTTCAGCAGTGCCAAACGTGTCAGCCAAAATAGCTGACATTCCATCTTCAACCATCTTTTGCAAAGGTTAGTTGGTTATTTCAATTCACATCCCACCATAACCCTGAAATTGCCAGTGATAATAAAAATATGATATAACATGTTGTTGTTCTTTAAAGTATCAGTAGGGTTTTTTAAAAAACAAATAAACAAATCAAAAGTGCATAACATCAGCCACATTAAAACATATCAAGACAAGCTATTATTATTAATAATAATAATTTTTGTACCTCACCCATCTGACTGGGTTGCCAGTCAGACTGAGCAGGGGAAAAAATCCCTGTCTATTATTTTTTTTTAATACCATTTGCTTCTTCAGAAGGTCTCAAGACCCCAAGAAGGTGAAAGAAATGGTTTGGGAAGCTCCTTATACATAACTTGACCGCTATGTCCCTGGAACTGAGCTAGGGGCTTTTTCCAATTAACAGGCAGTTTGCCAGTGAGAAGAAGAAAAAACACCAAAGCAAGATACATGCCTTTTGTTTAAGATAGGGACTGGGAACTGTCCAGCTGTCCAGCTATATGTTGACGGGAACTCCAGCTCCCATCAGCCCCAGCCAGCATGGCCAACGGTCAAGGATGATAACAGTTGTAGTTTAGCAACATCTGAAGGGCCACAAGTTCTCCATCCCTGAGTTAGGCCTTTGAGCTTTTCTCTGAAACCGGCCCCTCTATACTGAAACTTGATGCGGCAGTGCCCTTGTCAAAGATACCGAGGAAAGGAATGAAAGACCTTGGGGGTTCAGGCAGAACCTTGGGATGTAGAGTGCCCAGAGCAAGGACTATCAAACCATGTCTAGAACAACCAGGGTCAAGTTGATGGAATGAGTTTGGGGCTCTAGAACAAGAGCTATGAATGTCTTACCCGCTTCTAGCAAACTCCGCCCAATAGTGCATCATCTTGAGGCTCAAAGGGGCGTCAGCTTCCGTGTTCGTTTGGTTTGCCCTCTGTAGCGACAACAGAGTTCCAAACAGGTAAGGCACCTCAACTCCATGGGCTGCTCCCATCCACTCCTGCCAAATGGAGCCAGAGATGTGGTGGTTGAAGGAGTAGGTGTAGACAGGGCTCCCACCTGCTGCCATCTTTTCAGCAGCTTCAGCCAATGGGCACAAAAAGTAATAATCTCTGCACAGTTGGACCATGGCCCCATGGTACTTTTCTGGCCCATGGCCATCTTCAGCATACTTCAGCGCTACAGTCTTGGCAACATCTTCTTCCAAAGACATTTCGAACAATGTCATTGTTTCCTTCAAGAGCTGCTCCCAAGTTGACGTTCTGTCATCTTCTATGTGATCCGAAAGACCGCTTAGTGCAAAGACAGACCCATCCTCCCTGGTGATGCCTATGAGCAGTGGTTTTGCCTGAAGGAGCCCACTCTGCAGAAGTTTCCTTGGCTCATCCAGAAGGAAGTCCCCATCTGTGGTGGGGTAGAAGCGATGCATCAAAAGTTGGAACATTCCCCTATCCATTTCTTTCTCCTGTAGGCAGCGCAGCGCCACACTGTGATTCCGATCGTCGCAGCCCAGCCGCTGACTCGCTTGCAAGGAACGCAACTTGCAATGCTCAGGATCCTTCCAAGCCCAGGGTGCATTGGGAGCTCCACTCTGCACCACAGCTCGGGCAAAAAGGGGTTGGCTTGCAGGTGAGAGGAGGTGAAACCCCACAGAGGCTGCTCCCGCACTGTGGCCAAAGAGGGTCAGCTGAAGAGGGTCCCCACCAAAGACAGCTGCGTTCTCCTTCACCCACTTCAGAGCTAGCTGTTGGTCCCACAACCCCATGTTTCCTGGGACCTCAGGTGGGAGGAACAGAAAGCCGAAGAATGCCAACCGATAATTAATGGAAACCACAATGACGTTCTCAGTAGCAGCCAGAAGTGCTCCGTTGTACAAGTCTAAGGAACTGGCACCAACCAGAAATCCCCCGCCGTGGATCCAGACAAGGACAGGAACCGGTGCAGAAGGCCGCGGGTGAGGCACCCAGACATTGAGAAAGAGACAGTCCTCTGAATGTGGCGCGTTGGCAACCCACATTTTGTTGAAAGGCCATTGAAAATCGGTCGTCTGGAAGCAAGCCTTTCCAAAGTCGGTGACCTCCAAGACATGGCTCCATGGCTGGTGGGGGAGGGGCTTTTGGAAGCGCAGCTTCCCCAGGGGGGGTTCAGCATAAGGGATACCGAGGTAGGAAGTGACGGAGGCCGAGCCAACCGGGACTCGCTTGCCTTTGATAGGGCCACTGCTGGTCACCACCACGGTGTCATCTTCAGAGGCAGAGCTGGAATTCAGGAGGGAGAGGGAGAGGAAGAGGCCCAAGGATGCCTGGAGGAGAGTAGGCATTGCAGAAGCTGAAAGAAAGGTGACCCAGGCACAGTTACACCTTAGCTCTGATCCAAAGCGACATACACCAGCCCCCCCCCTTTTAAAATAAAAAGCATAGACCCCAGCATATCGACTGTATTGTGTGGGAGAAGGCAGGTGAAAACCCTTCTCTCCACCCAATCCCCTTCTGGATATCAGTGGATTATAGGTGCGTTAAAAAAAAAAACTTGGCATCAGAGGGACAGCTTCCATGTGAGTACTGGGAATTGCAGGTGGACTGTTGTTGCTATGTACTGAAGTTCTCACCCTGGGCCAGCAGGGGGAAACTGTAGATAGTTTTCACTCAGGTCCACATGTGCAAATAAGGAATTGAAAGTGACGTTCAGTGATTGGATAGTTACAGAAAGTTGTTACTGTTGCTTTGTAGTTGAGATCTATATAAGCAGGCTGGCTGAACCCTTCAGTTCAGTTCTGTTCTGGCCTGTGAATAAACAAGAGCCCTTTGAAGAATCGCTGTGTCGTCTGATATGTTCACCCACAACTTAACAGTTGGTCCTACTTGTGAGCTTCCCATAGGCTTCTGGTTGCTCACTGTGGGAACAGGATGCTGGACTAGATGGGCCATTGGCTTGATCCAACAGTATTTTTATTTGATGGGGAGGGAGGGAGGAAAGGAGCCATGACAGCGGGGTCAATGCACATCTCTACCTGGAGCCTACAAAAACCAACACTGATCCTGAAAGCATAGGAACATTTTAAATGTACAGCTGTACCTTGGAAATCGAACGGAATCCGTTCCGGAAGTCCATTCGACTTCCAAAACGTTCGAAAACCAAATTGCTGCTTCTGATTGGCTGCAGGAAGCTCCTGCAGCCAATTAAAAGCCACAGAAGCCCTGTCAGATGTTCTGCCTCCAAAAATAGTTTGCAAACCGGAACAGTCACTTTGCGATGTTCGGGAGCCGAAACGTTCAGGAACTACGTAAGCTGTTCTAAAACCAAGGTACAACTCTATCAGCAAGCAAACATTCCCAGAAGTCCAATAAGAGGGGTCATATATCTATTGTTTGGGAGGGATGTTGGGGGGTTGCTGCTATTGCTTCTGTTGCTGGTGGTGGTTTTTTGTATCATTATTTTAGATCTTGTGGTTTATGTGAAAATTGTTCAGTTTGGATGTGTATTTTTTGACTTTTTTATTTATTGTTTCTGACTACTTTTGTTCTGTATTTTTCTCGTGTTTCAAGCCACATGGAGCACGGTTTAAATTGTGGGAAAGTGGCATTCATATAAAATGATTTATGTACAGAGGTGCACCAAATTCATTTTTGTATGTCGACAACAACATTCACACACAAAAAGAACACACACATGTCTTTGTGACAATGTTTTTGAGGGTACCAATTCTCACCTACCAATCTTCATACGGAAGGAATATTATTCCAGTAAAGATGAGCAGGTCTAGGGGGATGGCAAGGCCGGTTGTGTAATTCCTTGAGCTGGAATCTTCCAACATCTAACTTTCCACTAAAGCTGAAAGTGGGCAACTTAGTTTACTGACTTTGAACTCCTTAACAGAGACTTTGCAGTCACCTCATACCTTGACTTTGTTCACCTCTTTCTCTTTTTTTTCTTTTGAGGGAGCAAGTCCCAATCTGCAGACCCTCACACGCATATGTCCAAGACTTACAGCATGATACAGGGTTAACTTCCCAAATGTTAAACAACTGAAAGAAAACGAAGCAAGAAGCTATGGTGCTAGAATGCAGGATTCCTGACTTCCTTTCTTGTGCCACGTTTACTGTCCTCTCCCCCACTCCCAGGTTTGTTCCCCACGTCTCATCCTACTCTTGGAGGCATCTAAACCTTCTGCATCCTGAAGACTCACCTCCTTTATCCCCGGTGGGGTTTTGCTGCTCCTTGGTGTCCTCTGCAGCTCAATCCAAAGGGGAAAGGTGGATACTGAGGCTTATAGGACACTTCCAGCTCTCGCAAATAACACCCAGTGAGAAGGCAGCTACCAATATGTGTGTACGCAAAGGGCAGTGACCGCCAGGCTCTGCCTTCTCCAGGGGACAAGGCATCTTAGGTAAGAGTACACATCAGAGGGGACAGAGGGAGAGCTGTAGCGTGCAACAACAACAAAATGGGTTTCATGGTTATGCAAAGTCTCTGGCCTTTTGGACATAAGGAAATGCAAGTTATTAAATACAGTGGTACCTCGGGTTAAGTACTTAATTCATTCCGGAGGTCAGTTCTTAACCTGAAACTGTTCTTAACCTGAAGCACCACTTCAGCTAATGGGGCCTCCTGCTGCTGCCGCGCCCCTGGAGCACAATTTCTGTTCTCATCCTGAAGCAAAGTTCTTAACCTGAAGCACTATTTCTGGGTTAGCGGAGTCTGTAACCTGAAGCGTATGTAACCCGAGGTACCACTGTAGTGGGTTGACAAAGCAGACGACACAGATATTTCTCCAAGTAGTTCTTTATAGGTAAGCTGGAACTGAACTGAACTGAACTGAACACAGCTCAGCTGGCCTGCTTTTATAGGCAGCCGGCTGTCACATTGTAACAACAACAGCCCAGGGTTTCCCGCCTAAATTAACTGGCGTGGACCTGAGTGAAAACTACATACACAATCCCCCCTGGTGGCCAGGGTGAGAACTTCAATACATAACACAAGAACAGTGGTACCTCAGGTTACATATGCTTCAGGTTACATACGCTTCAGGTTACATATGCTTCAGGTTACAGACTCCGCTAACCCAGAAATAGTACCTCGGGTTAAGAACTTTGCTTCCGGATGAGAACAGAAATTGTGCGGTGGCAGCGGGAGGCCACATTAGCTAAAGTGGTACCTCAGGTTAAGAACAGTTTCAGGTTAAGAACGGACCTCCAGAACAAATTAAGTTCTTATCCCGAGGTACCACTGTACATGTGAACACAGGCAACTGTGGACTAGCACTGAAGAACATCAAAAGCCAGGTTGAGTTTGAATAGTGAGGGCAGGTGGATCTTTATTTATTGAGCATGCAATGTCCCCCCCAATGAGATGTCCTGTAGCAGGGCCATATCAAGGGTTGCTGCTGCCTGAGGTAAAGGACAAGATGGCTGAAGTGCTGGGGGTGTTTCCTGTGTCCCCCCAAACTGGTCAGTTGCAATCCTCCTTGAAGCAAGTAAAATCCTCAGTGATACAATGGGCAATAGCTATTGATCATAATATAGATATGGAAGCATGGGAACGATTGTGGAATATGGATATAAAATTTACAGCATGTTATGGTCCAAGAGAAAATTATATGAAATTGATATATCGAGGGTAAATTGACAAAAAAAATGTATAAATCCAAATCAAATAAGTGTTGGAAATGTAAAGAGAAAGAAGGTTATTTTTATCATATGTGGTGGTCTTGTAGTGAGGTTAAGGGAAGTATTTTTTTGACTTTTTATTTATTGTTTCTGACTACTTTTGTTCTGTATTTTCCTCAGGCTTCCCCAATCTTCATACAGAAGGAATATTATTCCAGTAAGCATGAGCAGGTCTAGGGGAATGGCAAGACCGATTCCCCCTTTTTTTTGCAATTACTGCTCACACATCAAGCAGTTGGCGGGGTTTGCAACCCGGCGCAGGCTTCCCGTGCCAGGGTGACACCTTTCTGCCTACTGGCCGGCGCTCCACCTCCTCCCCCACTAGCAATGGTCACAACTTTGGCGGTTTTAGACCTTGATCAGTATCCTATAGTTTGGTTTTGGATTTGATATCCCGCTTTATCACTACCCTAAGGAGTCTCAAAGCGGCTAACATTCTCCTTTCCCTTCCTCCCCCACAACAAACACTCTGTGAGGTGAGTGGGGCTGAGAGACTTCAGAGAAGTGAGACTGGCCCAAGGTCACCCAGCAGCTGCATGTGGAGGAGCGGAGACATGAACCCGGTTCACCAGATTACGAGTCCACCGCTCTTAACTACTACACCACACTGGCTCTCTTCAGAATGGGGGGGGGGTAGCATTATTATGCATCCCCATGTGGCATCATCTGCAGGGCCCGTTAAAGGGTCGTTTGCAGGAGTCACTGGCCCTGAGTGGCGGCGAAAGGTCGAACTACCAACATCAGGTGAAGTGGGGGGCACACTGTGTAAAATCTCATTTCACAGTCCCCTTCAAAGTTGGGGCTGAGAGGGTTGCCGTCCAATGCCTAAGCCAAGGTTTCCTACATCTGAAATCGATAAAGTTGTGGCCTAATTTTATCCCATATGTCATTGTCATGTCTCCTTATTTTGGGCTGGCTCCCAGGCCGGGGGGTTAGTGCATGGGCTGGCAAATAGAAGCAGTATATGTGTGTCTGAGTATTGCTTTTTATATCCGTATTTTTACTTCTTGAAATACGGCAGCCCTACCTCAGTGGCTTGGAGAACCTTTTATTTTATCAGTTGGTGTTCATTCTGTGGTTGCAAAGAGTTGATCTTCCAGGGTGGCAGTACCCAGACTTTGGATCACCCTGCCCATTAATATTAGTCAGGAAGACTTTGCTGTATTGTTTTTGGCACTCGGGTTAAACCACAGAGCCTAGGACTTGCCAATCAGAAGGTCAGCGGTTCGAATCCCTGCGGCGGAGCGAGCTCCCGTTCCTCGGTCCCTGCTCCTGCCAACCTAGCAGTTTGAAAGTACATCAAAGTGCAAGTAGATAAATAGGTACCACTCCAGGGGGAAGGTAAACAGCGTTTCCGTGCGCTGCTCTGGTTCGCCAGAAGCGGCTTAGTCATGCTGGCCACATGACCCGGAAGCTGTACGCTGGCTCCCTTGGCCAATAAAGTGAGATGAGCGCCACAACCCCAGAGTCGGCCATGACTGGACCTAATGGTCAGGGGTCCCTTTACCGTTAAAACTTTCTTGTTTCAGCCAGTAATTGTCACGGGTGAGTCATTTTAACATGCAGTTTTAACAAGTCGTTTTATTTTACGTATAAAGTTTTAAAGATCGCAGACTTTACCAGCATCTTTTAAAATGGTGTTCCCTTGTTTTTCATGTTTGCTCTTTCGGGCTACTTTTTAAATGAATGTTTCAGATTGCCCTTTGCAAACCTCTTAGAGATTTTCCGCTGAAGAAGCGGCATATACCATATTTTTTGCTCTATAAGACTCACTTTTTCCCTCCTAAAAAGTAAGGGGAAATGTGTGTGCGTCTTATGGAGTGAATGCAGGCTGCGCGGCTATCTCAGAAGCCAGAACAGCAAGAGGGATCGTGTTATGGCTTCTGGGATTCAGAATATTTTTTTTCTTGTTTTCCTCCTCCAAAAACTAGGTGCGTCTTATGATGTGGTGAAAAATACGGTGCATTTTGTTAAATGAAAACTTAAAAGATTTGCCCCTGTTCTCACAGTGGCGAACCAGAGGCCTGTGAGAAACTCTCAGGCAGAACCTGAGATTGTAGCCACCCCACTTGTGATTCCCAAGGTTCAGAGAAGGGCAAAGTTCTATATTTGCTCCACTCGCTCACCCCCTCCTCCTGCTCTCTGCCAGTTCGATAAAGTCCCTGGTTTCTTTTTCTTTTTTTATTTCAGAAAATGTATACACTGCTTGATTGTAAAACAAACAAGCCCTCAAAGTGATTTATAGAAAGACGAAACAGGAAAATCAAGAAAAATTTCCAATCCTGCTTGAAAACATACAGAGGTTATAATACTCAAACAGATTGAAATGACCTCAGCTTTCTTTAAGGTAACAAATAATCTGGAAATAAGTACCTTACGTAGAATGAGAAAGGCTGCTGGTGTATCCAGGACCATTAGGTGGAGTGAGACAATCAGCTTAGATGGCAGATGCTGGAGAGATGGGGAGATTGAGTTCCATCATGCACACACGCGCACACACACACAATTCCTCCTGAGGGCCATGGTAAAGGTAAAGGGACCCCTGACCATTAGGTCCAGTTGTGACCGACTCTGGGGTTGCGGCGCTCATCTCGCTTTATTGGCCGAGGGAGCCGGCGTACAGCTTCCGGGTCATGGGGCCAGCATGACTAAGCCGCTTCTGGCGAACCAGAGCAGCGCACGGAAACACCGTTTACCTTCCCGCCAGAGCGGTACCTATTTATCTACTTGCACTTTGACGTGCTTTCGAACTGCTAGGTGGGCAGGAGCAGGGACCAAGCAACGAGAGCTCACCCCATCGTGGGGATTCGAACAGCCGACCTTCTGATCGGCAAGCCCTAGGCTCTGTGGTTTAACCCACAGATGAGCAAATCTGTCACTTTCAGTTTCTCCCTGTTTCTATCTCCCCCCCCCCCCCAGTCTTCAGTTTTCCACACCTGTTTGTGATTTGTTTTAAAATAACCTCATGGAAATCCATCAGCATTTTAGTGCAAAATTCTCCTGATACGTACATTTTTATGCAGGTATGCATACAATTTTTTTTAATGCAATGATCTTCATATTTTGGCACAGCAATTTCCCCTAATACATCACACATTTTTTTTCTCTTGATAGTTTCTCCAGTACATGCCTTAACCTAGGGTGTGCGTTGGGTTGGAGACTGGCATTGCAAAATCTGGAGAAGGGCTGATTTGGAAGGCTTTTCTGTTTCGGTTTGCATGCTGTTCCAGAAAGTGTGAATTAGGTGTGTTTGCCTTTAAATGAAAACTGACAAATTTCTCCCCCACCCCTACCCGCTGCGTATTCCCCTCTCTTCAAGATCAGAACTGTGTGTGCACAATTGGCATCCATGTGCAAGAGCCTCAGATGCATTGAGTTTTCTGGGGATGGGAATCCTGATTAATCAGAATTTCCATTCTCGGGGAGGAAACAGATGTCTTCTAGAGACCCCATTCATACATCTGGTACTCAGAGGAACTGAATGCCTGAATACGGTTTACATTTCCATTCCATTCAAAGCTCAGCAGTTTGTCTGCTTCCTCACTCAGCTTTGCCCCCCCCCCCCATGAACTACTGCATCCTTTGTTTTCTTTTTAACATTTATTTTTAACATTTATTCAAAAGTGACAATACAGCGAGTGCCGATTGGAGCGACCAATCTGTGATATTGTGGCAGTGAACCAAACTGTCTTGAACAGCTACATCCCAAACAGTTGTGTAGTGTTTCGTAACATGGCTAGAGGTCCCACAGATTGTGGGCCTAGCTAACCTGTTCCTAAAGTGTGGATTCCATTGTCTTGGGTCTCATTCTTCGGACCTTTCTCCAAAATGGGTGAAGTGCTGCCTTCTTCAGAGACCTCAGAAAAGGCTTTCTAGAAAAAGAAAGAAAGAAAGAAAGAAAGAAAGAAAGAAAGAAAGAAAGAAAGAAAGAAAGAAAGAAAGAAAGAAAGAAAGAAAACTGATCAATAGAAAGTCAACGAAATCTTCATGCCCAAAATCTTAGTCTCTTGACATATTAAATCTACTGGTATACTCTCTTGAGCCAATAAACTTTGTTTGAAACCTGGGAAGATGGAGGCTCTGTGGGTAGGTGGTTCCCATGTTTGAGAAATTGGCAAGTTACCTGTTCTGGATGGCATTGCACTCCTACTAAAAAACCAGGTGAGTAGTATAGAGGTGCTCCTAGAGGCCTCTGTAGCTAGGAGTGCCTTTTCCCAACTATGTCTGATTTGCCAACTATGACCATTCCTGGACAGGGATAGCCAGTCTACTGTAGTCCATGCATTGGTAACCTCAAGGCTGGATTACTGTAATGTGCTGTATTTGGGGCTGCCCTTGGGTCGAAAGCTCCAGCTGAGGCAGAATGCTGCAGCCAGACTTTTTTGAAAAAAATTTACTCCTACAGTGATGATAACAAGGCTTTCTGGTTCGCAGCCTTCAGCCACCATGCATCCTGTAGCAGAATGTTGTGGGAACTTTTCTAAAAATAGGGAGGGGAAATGGATGGGGAACTTAAGATCCTGCAGTTGTTGTTGGTCTGATAGTCCCGATTTGCCTCTCCCGGTTTCTCATTTCTCCATTCTTAAAAACTCCTGCAAAATGTGTGTGGCAGATAACATAACTATCTGTGTGGTTTTGTTTGGGCGCTTCATGTTCTTGCTGTTGTTTTCATGTTTCCTAACTGTTACTAAGGGATTTGGGATGTTGGGAGAGTGACCACTGGAGGGCAGGTAAGCCAGGGTGGGAGGCAGAAAGGAGGAGCCTTGAAGCAGTGAATGAAACATACTGCTATGGGGAGTTTCACACTTCCCCCTCTATCCTCTATCCAGGACAGCAAAAGGCATTACAGTGGTACCTCGGGTTACATACGCTTCAGGTTACAGACACTTCAGGTTACATACTCCACTAACCCAGAAATAGTACCTCGGGTTAAGAACTTTGCTTCAGGATGAGAACAGAAATCGTGCTCCGGCGGCACGGCAGCAGTGGGAGGCTCCATTAGCTAAAGTGGTGCTTCAGGTTAAGAACAGTTTCAGGTTAAGAACGGACCTCCAGAACGAATTAAGTTCTTAACCCGAGGTACCACTGTATCAACAATCAAGGACACTTTCTAGGCCAGGCAAAAACAAGGGGAGTGGGTGTGGGCTGGAGAGAACTGCAAGGGCCAGTTAGAGACATATACAGGACCCATATTTTAGGTTCCCCATCCCTTTTCTAGAACATTCTGGATTCCATTATTATTATTATTATTATTATTATTATTATTATTATTCCCTGCCCATCTGACTTGGTTGCCCTAGCCTGTCTGAGCAGCTTCCATTATATATAGAAACACAACAAAGCATTTCAAAATAAATAAAAACTTCCCTATAGATGTCTTCTAAAGGCTGTGTAGTGACTTATCTCCTTGTCTTGGAGGCCACAACGGGAGCACAGCTGAGCAACTACATACACTCCCACCCCCAGAGGAGCCCCAAATTCACCTGCTTCTGTCGCATTTGAAAAAAGAGATGCCAGAAAACCACAGTGTGAGGCAGGTGACCTCCGTTTGGGCTGGGCTGCCTTTCCGCCGATATGAAAGAAGTTCTGCTCTGTGGAATTGTAGACAGGCCACTTCACTTCACTTGCCTCTGACCCAGTGGGATTCCTGTTGGGGCAACAAAGAAACCAGAGAGTAAAGAGCGGGTAATCAATAAATAATACAAGATAGATGATGATGATGATGATGATGATGATGATGATATTTTTTTATTTATACCCCACCCATCTGGCTGGGTCTACCCAGCCACTCTGGGTGGCTCCCCACAGAATATTAAAAACATGACAAAACATCAAACATTAAAAACTTCCCTAAACAGGGCTGCCTTCAGATGCCTTCTAAAAGTCAGATAGTTGTTTATTGCCTTGATATCTGATGGGAGGACAGGGCAGGTGCCCCCATCGAGAAGGCCCTCTGCCTGGTTCCCTGTAATCTCACTTCTCGCAGTGAGGGAACTGTTAGAAGGCCCTCGGAGCTGAGCAATGGGGGTGAAGATGCTCCTTCAGGTATACTGGGCCAAGGCCGTTTAGGGCTTTAAAGGTGCTCAGAAATGTACTGGGAGCCAATGTAGGTCTTTCAGGACCAGTGTTATATGGTCTCGGCAGCCACTCCCAGTCACCAGTCTAGCTGCCGCATTCTGGATTAGTTGCAGTTTCTGGGTCACCTTCAAAGGTAGCCCCACATAGAGTGCATTGCAGTAGTCCAAGTGGGAGATAACTAGAGCATGCAGCACTCTGGTGAGACAGTCTGTGGGCAGGTAGGGTCGCAGCCTGCGTACCAGATGGAGCTGGTAAACAGCTGCCCTGGACACAGAATTGACCTGCACCTAATAGGAGGATGATAGACAGACAGACTCCAACAAGTGAGAGATGTGGTCTGGGATGGAAGGCTCATGATGGTTGGATAGAGAGGCCTGGAGAATCACCTTTCTGTCCCCCCTCGACTGACATTTCCTACTCTGCCTCTACAGAATTGAAGCCTTTTGCAACAATAACATGCTGGGAAGTGGGTGCACATTTCAAGCTGAACCACATTCACGACTTGCACAGAGATCAAAGGCAGCCTCTAGGACACAGATAAGCAGGAAGTGTTTGTTTTACGACGCGGAGGGATTAATGCCTTACCCGCTTCTGGCAAAGTCTGCCCAGTATCGCATCACTCGACGGCTCAATTCAGCATCCTCAGCCGCCGCCTCTGATTGGTTTGTTTGCGACTCGGATGCCATGATTCCAAACAAGTAAGGCAGCTCAGCTCCGTGGGGTGTTCCTGCCCACTTGGGCCAAATGGGAGAACGGTGGTCGAAGTAGTAAACATAAACTGGGCTCTTGGCTCCTCCGACCTTTGCAGCAAACTCAGCCAGTGGGCACACGAAGAAGTAATCTCCTAAAAACTGAGTCAAGGCCATTTGGTACTGTTCTGGCCCATGGCTCTCTTGGACGTACTTCAGTATTGCAGCATTGATGGCATTTTGTTTAGTTCCATTTTTTACTGTTTGATTCACCCCTTCATAGAGCTGCTCCCTGGTAAGTATTGAATCGTTTCCTATGATGCTTGGAAATAGCATTAATACCATGTGTGACCCTTCGTCAGCACTGACACCAGCGAGAATGGGTTTGCCCTGAACGCCACCAGTCTCCAGGAGCTTTTGGGGATCGTCTGGGATGAACTCCCCATCGGTTGTCAAAGAAAACATAGGTCCCAGGTCAGAAAATGCCTTGCCTTCCTTTCCCTGTAGGCAGCTAACCATAGCACTGTGGTTAGCTGTAGGACACCCCATTAGGTCACTCACATTTACCGAAACTCTTAGGGCATCTTCAGGATTCCTCCAACCCCAGGGGGCATTGGGAACTCCACTCTGAAGCACAGCACGGGCAAAAAGGGGTTGGCTGGCCGGCGAAAACAGGTGGAAACCAACTGAGGATCCTCCAGCACTTACACCAAAGAGAGTTATCTGGGCTGCATCACCACCAAACACAGCTGCGTTCTCACTCACCCACTTCAGAGCCAGATGTTGGTCCCACAAGCCAGCGTTTCCTGGGGCATCTGGCGGCAGGTACAGGAAACCCAGGGTCCCCACGCGGTAATTCATGGAGGCCACAATGACATTCTCTGTAGCAGCTAGGAATGCCCCGTTGTAGATGTCTAGCGAGGCTGTGCCACTGATAAATCCCCCACCGTAGATCCATAGAAGGATGGGCACTGGTTTGACTGGTTGTGGGTTGGGCACCCAGATGTTGAGAAAGAGACAGTCCTCTGAAAGTGGTGTGTTGGGAAATAATATGGTGGAATTAGGTAGGAAATCAATAATTGCCTGGTGGCAAGAGTTACCAAAGGTGGTGGCCTCCAAGACCTGGCTCCACGGCTGATGAGGAATGGGCTTCTGGAAGCGCAGTTTGCCTATGGGGGGCTCAGCATAGGGGATGCCCAGGTAGGCGGTAACAGAGCCAGAGCCAGCTGGGAGCCGTTTGCCTCTAATAGGACCACTGCTGGTGACCACTACAGTATCGTTTTCAGAGGCAGAGCTAGAAACCAGGAGGAAGAGGAGGCAGAAGGAGGAGGGTGAAGTCCAGAAACGGGGCATAGCAGCTGCAGGTGAAAGAATCAGAAATAAGGTTAGGGTGGGAAACACAACAATATATTATTATATATTTCTTTTAGAAACGCGTCAGCCACATGGCAGTCTATTCTGTTCTCCAGATGTTTCCCAGACTCCTGTTTTCCACATTGTATTTCAGCTTTCACATGACATACAACCGCTTCTGGAAATCTAGTGGGGTATGCTGCATGTTTAGTACATTTCTACTTTATTTGCAAACTGATTTTTCCCACCCAGAAGCAAATAGCACGAAAAGTGGTGCTAAACTTATTCTGCCACATTTCCAGAAGTGCCAGGGATGTGGGTGGCGCTGTGGTCTAAGCCACTGAGCCTCCTGGGCTAGTCGATCAGAAGGTCAGCGGTTCGAATCCCTGCGACGGGGTGAGCTCCCGTTGCTCAGCTTCTGTCAACCTAGCAGTTCAAAAGCACACCAGTGCAAGTAGATAAAGAAGTACTGCTGTGGTGGGAAGGTAAACGGTGTTTCCATGCACTCTGGCACACGTCACGGTGTTCCGTTGTGCCAGAAGTGGTTTAGTCATGCTGGCCACATGATCTGGAAAGCTGTCTGTGGACAAACGCCAGCTCCCTCGGCCAGCTCCCTTCAACCCCAGTTGCCTTTGACTGGACTTAACCGTCCAGGGGTCCTTCACCTTTATCCTTTTTTACCCAGAAGTGCCCTTCATGTGAAAGCTCAAATGAGGTGCAGAAATTAACAGGGAAACAGCATGAAAGAAAACTGCAATGTGAATGCAACCCAAGTTAACCATATAAACAAGATGAGGAATCTGTGGCCTTCCACGTGCTGTGGGATATAAGTTACCATCAGCTTCAGCCAACATGACCAATGGTCAGGACATTAATGCAACCCAGGATTGGAGGGGGGGGAGACCAAGGAAACAATACCAGGTTGTTTTTTAAGAGAAAGAAATAAATGGCTTGTTGATTTCATCTTCTCAAGAATTCTCAATATACTGGTTGTTGAAGGATACTGTGTGAGAGGCAAGGAAGTGAGGACCTCCCAGTCTGGGAGAAGATTGGGAAACTCCCAAGTGAAATCTGGGAGTCTTCACTTCCTTCTGTTTGGGATAAGGGCTAATACATACCTGTGAGAGAGGACCTTCTTTCTTTCTCCTTTTCTCTTTGTTTTTATTTTTGTTTAGATAAGTTTGCTTTTTAATGTAATTTATTATGAAAACTTTTAACGAAACCTTAATTATAAAAGATATTTCCATCTACAACACAACCACACATTCTCTGCAGTGGTATACTTACCCAATATCGTTTGCTCTGGATGCAAGAAGGGGGCACTTATGGAGGCTTCAGACTGCTCCTTGGGGGTGCTGCGAGGAAAGCACTTCCACCTCTGCAGTTCTTACACTCCCTTCACCCTCTATGAGACTGATGTGTTGGTCGCTGGTGCTCCTTTTGTATTGTAAGGCCCGTGTGGCAAGAGCACCTTCCAGGAATTGCAAGGCTCCTGTGTTATGTTTCATGCCCACATCCGGGTGCCCTTAAGCCACCAGGTACAACTGCCCTGAAATGCGACATTCTTTCTTCTAATGAATGTTGTTTCACCATCACAACCGCCGACATTTTAAGTCACCAAGAATTACATAACGTTTTAACTACTGGTCATTCAATTGGGTCTTGCGTCAGAGCTAGCATCAGAATTGCATGGGGGTGAGGGGGTTTGAACGATTCCGAATTCCATCCTCTAGTTCCCTTTGTGCCTGGTGATGAGGGGGGAAATCCATATACAGTGGTACCTCAGGTTAAGAACTTACTTCGTTCTGGAGGTCTGTTCTTAACCTGAAACTGTTCTTAACCTGAAGCACCACTTTAGCTAATGGGGCCGCCCACTGCTGCCACACCACTGGAGCATGATTTCTATTCTCATCCTGAAGCAAAGTTCTTAACCTGAGGTATTATTTCTGGGTTAGCGGAGTCTGTAACCTGAAGCATCTGTAACCTGAGGTACCACTGTACAGTGGTACCTTGGGTTAAGTACTTAATTAGTTCCGGAGGTCCATTCTTAACCTGAAACTGTACTTAACCTGAAGCACCACTTTAGCTAATGGGGCCTCTCGCTGCCGCCGTGCAATTTCTGTTCTCATCCTGAAGCAAAGTTCTTAACCTGAGGTATTATTTCTGGGTTAGTGGAGTCTGTAACCTGAAGTGTCTGTAACCCGAGGTACCACTGTATTTTAACTATGGTGCTCAATCGGAAGAGCACGAGACTCTGAATCTCAAAGTCATGACCCTTGTGGTCCCTTCAAACTCTACAGTTCTATGATTCGATGGCTGTGTATTACAATCGCCAACAAATGTTAAGAACATCAGAAGAGCCTGCTGCATCAGGACAGTGCCCCTTCTAGCCCAGCGTCCTGTTCTCCCCGTGGCCAACCGGATGCCTGTGGGGAAACCCACAAGTGGAATCTCAGCATAAGAGCCCTCTCCCCCGCCTGTGGTTGTCAGCAACTGGTATTCAGAAGCCTCGCTGCCTAAAACTGTGGATACAGACAATCAGCATCTTTACCGCGGCTGTTGCGTGATTTCTGTTCTCATCCTGAGGTAAAGTTCTTAACCCAAGGTACTACTTCCGGGTTAGCGGAGTCTGTAACCTGAAGCGTCTGTTACTGAGGTACCACTGTATAAGCGATTCTTCATGCAAGGGAACTTCCAGCTATCAATACACTGGTACCTCGGGTTACAGACGCTTCAGGTTACAGACTCCGCTAACCCAGAAATAGTACCTCGGGTTAAGAACTTTACCTCAGGATGAGAACAGAAATCGTGCGGCGGCAGCGGGAGGCCCCATTAGCTAAAGTGGTACCTCAGGTTAAGAACAGTTTCAGGTTAAGAACGGACTTCCAGAACGAATTAAGTTCTTAACCCGAGGTACCACTGTACCATAATTGATCTGAGATGGGGAGGAAAATGAGCACCTGGGATCCTGTTGTATAAGTGCTAATGCAGGGACCTTTGACACACTTCCAGCGTTGGTCTGGCCAAACATGTTGTGCTCCCGCTCTGTTTAAGCAATATGGTTGCTTTTCTGTCACTCTCATCGGAAGGCCAAGGTCTCTGTGGGGCCTTCATCAAAAGCAGCAACAAAAAAATAAAAAATAAAAAAATGCACTCAGGTCCCAGCAGCTTCCAGAAGACGCAGACCTGGCACAGTGATCCGACACGGCTACTCTATTGCTGGGTTTTATCAGTGCCGGATTTACGTATAAGCTAAACAAGCTATAGCTTAGGGCCCCACTCTCTTGGGGGCCCCAAAAAAAATTAAAGGGAAAAAAACCTGGATGTACATTTCCAAAATTTATGATAAGATTTCATTATGTGCAAATGACTTTAGATACCTATTAGGTCATAGAATCATAGAGTTGGAAGAGACCACAAGGGCCATCGAGTCCAACCCCCTGCCAAGCAGGAAACACCATCAGAGCACTCCTGACATATGGTTGTCAAGCCTCTACTTAAAGACCTCCAAAGAAGGAGACTCCACCACACTCCTTGGCAGCAAATTCCACTGTCGAACAGCTCTTACTGTCAGGAAGTTCTTCCTAATGTTTAGGTGGAATCTTCTTTCTTGTAGTTTGGATCCATTGCTTCGTGTCCGCTTCTCTGGAGCAGCAGAAAACAACCTTTCTCCGTCCTCTATATGACATCCTTTTATATATTTGAACATGGCTATCATATCACCCCTAAACCTCCTCTTCTCCAGGCTAAACATGCCCAGCTCCCTTAGCCGTTCCTCATAAGGAATATATATCATATATCATATATTCAACACAAAAAACAGCAACAATTTGTTGTTGACAAAGAACAGCTGGACATCCAGATTAGCAATGTGCAACTCAAAGTCTGTTCCAGCTTTTATGTTCTGTGTGTCTGTTCCAGATTTTCCAGATTGTCTGTTCTTTAGGGACTTTTTTAATATTTGATGTTTTATCGTGTTTGTAATATTGTGTTAGGGACGCGGGTGGCGCTGTGGGTAAAAGTCTCAGCGCCTAGGGCTTGCCGATCGAAAGGTCGGCGGTTCGAATCCCCGCGGCGGGGTGCGCTCCCGTTGCTCGGTCCCAGCGCCTGCCAACCTAGAAGTTCGAAAGCACCCCCGGGTGCAAGTAGATAAATAGGGACCGCTTACTGGCGGGAAGGTAAACGGCGTTTCCGTGTGCTGCGCTGGCTCGCCAGATGCAGCTTGGTCACGCTGGCCACGTGACCCGGAAGTGTCTCCGGACAGCGCTGGCCCCTGGCCTCTTAAGTGAGATGGGCGCAGAAACCCAGAGTCTGGCAAGACTGGCCCGTACGGGCAGGGGTACCTTTACCTTTACCTTTAATATTGTGTTGGGAGCCTCCCATAGTGGCTGGGGAAACCCAGAGAGATGGGCAGGATATAAATGATGATGATGATGTAGCAAATAATCTGTAGGAAAATGAGAAACTGAAGCGGACAAATTTGCTTCTGTAGAATGAGAAAAACTCCTGATGGATCTAGGGTCAGCCTTAGCATTAGGGCAGCGAAAGACTATTGCCTTAGAAGGCTGATGCTGGAGTGAGGGGGAGTTTCAGCAAGTGTGCGCACGCACACACACACACACACACACACACACCACTCCTCCTGGAAACCATGGAAAAGATGGGCATATCTGTCCATTTCAGTTTCTCATTTCTTCCCTTCTTAAATTAAATTTCTCCACATTTCCACATCAGTTGGTCATTTTCTAAAAGAACATCCTCGTGAAAATTCATGGGCATTTTAGTGCGAGTGTCTCTCCTAATATATATATTTTTATGCAATTTTGCCCAATACTCATATCTCTGCAAACTAATTTCCCCTAATATAACACACTTTTGTATGTCATTTTCTCCAATATATGCCTTTCTACGCACACTTTACCCTAGTAATATGTGTTTTTGTAAACATTGCTTGACTAGAAAATTGCATTGCAAAATTCAGAGAATTGCACATTTTGAAGGATGTCTATGCTTTGGTTGGTATGCTGCAACAGAAAGTGTGAATTAGGTAAACTTGCCTTTCAATGCAAACTAAATGGAATTTTCCCCTCATCCCTAGCCTGTCAGCATTCCCCTCAGTAGGAGATTAGGGCTGTATGTGCCACAAGTTATGCAAACCAGGAAGTTAGGCTGCTGCCCTCAAATTGCCAGTGTTGAAAGTAGTAGTCATTGAATTACGGATCAGTCGATTATCAGTCGATTTCTTATCCAGATAAGTCTTGCGTGCTTCATTTAAGTTTTATTCATCAATTCGTCCCATCCCAATGTGTGATAAAAGCCCTTTAAAAACTACATGAACCTGTGCATTATATTTGAAACAGTTTCCCTCCCACAAAATGTGCATTTTGTACATACTTTGTGCATTTTATGCATGTTTTGACTTAGCATATCTATCTTATATGCATTTTGTTATGTTTTTGCACTGAGAACCAGATCATAGTATTGAGTGTGCTATTGAAAACCAAATGATACCTATGTTCCATTTCCAGGATGTGCAAATTACATTGGTTCGATTAAAAAAATGCAGACTGAGCAAACATTTCAAGGATCTTTATTAGGAATAAGTTGTTGTCAAAGCATTAAATCCTATAAATGAGATGGAGGCAATGGGGTTGATCCAGCTAACCTCTAATAGAATAAGGTTGTCCTCACACCATTCCCTTCAGTTTTTCTACCACTCAAGCAGTCAGTATCTATATATACTTAGTGTGTGAAGAGGCTATCCAAAATTCACAGGCCAGTCTCACTGGCCATCCTACCTAGAGAATGTGTGGTTGGCACCGTTTCAGATCCCCATTCTTCTTGAAGAAACGCAAGTACAGTGGTACCTCAGGTTACATACGCTTCAGGTTACATACGCTTCAGGTTACAGACTCTGCTAACCCAGAAAAATTGCTTCAGGTTAAGAACTTTGCTTCAGGATGAGAACAGAAATCATGCTCCGGCGGCGCAGCAGCAGCGGGAGGCCGCATTAGCTAAAGTGGTGCTTCAGGTTAAGAACAATTTCAGGTTAAGAACGGACCTCTGGAACGAATTAAGTACTTAACCTGAGGTACCACTGTATTCTGGAGATACCAAATGCCTGAAGAGGGTTTACATTTTTATTCAATTCATATCACAGTAATTTCTTCCATCGTTCAGGTTTGTTGCGATGAATAGCTATGCTACCGTGTGTTTTGTACATGGCTGCAGATCCCTCAGAGTTTGGCCTAGCTAAACTGTTCCTGAGGCCTGGTTTTCGCCATCTCCAGCCTCATTCTTCACATCTTTATCCTGAACAGGTGGAATACAACCTTCTTCAGATTTCCCTGTGAAAGGAAAAATAAACAATGGTTGGGGGAAATAATTGATCAATAGAAGATCAAACTCCTTTTGCAGGAGATCTGATTAGTCTCCCGGTTTTTGTTTTCCATCAAAAGCAGGCCCGAATCCTTCCACCCTGCATTCTTATGGTACTCCTCATGCCCCATTGAAGATGGGGTCCTAAGCTGCTTCACAGAAAGTTCTCTGAGGCATCCAAGGGGAGCAAGTATTCCCTTCCCCAGCTCACATTTTTTAAAATGTTTTATCGTGGTGGCTCCTGCAGTGATGATAGCAAGGCTCCAGCCATCATGTCTCCTGTACCAGAATGCTGCAGGGACTAAAAATGAATTTTAAAAAATGAAAAAGGAGAATGGGGAACACATGGCCCTCCAGATGTTATTGGCCTGTAATGCTCATCCTTGACCACTGTGGATGAACAGATCTGCCCATTTTGGTTCTCCCAGCTTCTCATTTCTCAATTCTTATAATTCAGTTCTCCACATTTCTCCAGCAATTGGCAATTTAAAAAAACAAAACTCATGAAATGTTGTGTTGCAGATAACGTGACTGTCAGGGAACTGCCATCGGCTCAGAGGTGAGAAATAGAAGGGCAGTTGTGTTACAGGGAGCCTCCAAAAATCTTGCGAAGCAATTCCTCTTCCGGGGAGGAGGAAAGCCCCACCTCCAGTGGGGAAGAGGTGCAAGGACCAGAGGATGCTGGTGGGAGCCTTAACGCCGCTCCTGGGCAAGCCGGACAGGAGGGAAACACGCCCTTGCCCATCCTGCACAGTAGCCTAAGGCACAAAGAGGGGAGGAGAAGGTTGGGGGTAACAAAACTCTTATGTTGGGGGAGGTCCAAAGAAAGACCACTCCTGGATTCTGCTAGCGATTGAGCCAGATATGAGCTTCCGGGCTCTTCACTGTAAATAGTTTGCACCAAAATAAAGCCTGTAAAACACAGGTTGGAGTCCTGCCTGGTTACTCTCGAGCAACCGCAACAGCCACCTGACAGTAACTATTCATGTGGTGGCTCTTATTTTAATGTTTGATAAGGCCTGAAGCCTGGAAAAGCCAGAGGATAAGTCAGTAAGGGAGGAGAGGAGGGACCCTGGAGCACTGAGGGAACAAGACAGCTGTGGGGAATTTGTGGAGGACCTCTGATAAGTGAAAAATACCCCCGTTTAATAAAATCCCTTCTCCATATTTTCATCTAGCAATTAAGTGCTGTAGGTTCTCAATCCAGAGCTGGGTATCGCCATATCCTCCCTTTCCAAAGAGAGCCCTGAACTCACTTGCTTCTATTTCATTTGCTAGATGAGTGGCCAGGAAAGCACATCGTGGAGCAGGTGGCATCCATTTGTGCTGGGCTGCCTCTGTGGTGATGTGGAAGACGTTCTGCTCTGTAGCATTGTAGACAGGCCACTGTTCCTCATTCGGCGCAGACCCGGTGGGATTCCTGTAGACGCAACAAATAAACCAGAGCTTTATTACAGCCTCAGACTGATTTCAGGGTGAGGATCCAATGCTTGAAGTAGACAGAGCTGACATGGAAGTCAGAAGCAAGCAGTCATCCCTAGAACATTTTCAGTTCTGAAAACCACAGATCTGTTACCAAATGGGAACATTTAGATTTGTATACACGGAAACGTATGTGCACATGTTGTTGTTTTTTACGATGGTTTAATGATCCAGGTTCCGCCATTTACTTATTTTTATTTAATTAATTGGATTGTCAGACATCGAAGCAGTTTGCAGGAACAGAATAGATATCTTAAAATGATAACATTCGGAAGTTTACAAAAAGTAATCCAAAAAATTAAAAGTATAAAAGTATAAATAAAACCAGCAGCTGAAAATATTGTTGTGAGTCTGGGGGAGGGTAGCCTGCATGATCCCAGCATTCCTTGTAATTGTTGGGGTCCAAGACTTACTGGGGGGTTAATGCTGTCAGCCTCTCCATCATAGGAGCAGGTTGTATATCTATGTGTGTATAAATAAACCATATATCCTAAAGACACGACAGTCTTTATCCCATGGAAACCAAACCGAGGTTAAACACCTGGAATGCTGAAATCTAGCACCACTCAGAAATTGGGATGGTGTGCAACAAGATAAATAATTTATTTATTTTTAAAAACATATTAAAAGGCTTGTTGTTATATATGGGCTGGCATACTTAGTTCTTGGCACAGAAAGGTTAATACCTTACCCGCTTCTGGCAAACTCCGCCCAGTATCGCATCACTCGCCGGCTCAATTCCACCTCCGCCTCCGATGGGTCTTTCCGCAGTGACGCTGCCAAGTTTCCAAACAAGTAGGGGATCTCTGCTCCGTGGGGGGTCCCTATCCACTCTGGCCAAGGAAAGCCAGAACTGCGGTGGCTGAAGGAATAAACATAAGCTGGGCTCCCAACTTCTCTGGCCTTTGCAGCAAACTCCATCACTGGGCATAAAAAGGGATAATCTCCCAAATACTGAATCAAGGCCAAACGGTACCGCTCTGGCCCTTGAAAGTATTCAGCATATTTGAGGGCTATAGCCCTGGCAATGTCTTCTGTTTTCAGAGTTTCCAGCACCCGCTCAAGAAGCTGTTCCCAGGTCAGGATCCCATCATTTACTTCAGCACTAGGAAGCATAAGGTATACCAGGAATGAGTCTTCATTAGCCATGACACCAGTAAGAATGGGTTTGCCTTGAATGCCTCTCTCCAGGAGCTTTCGGGGGTCATCGGTGAGAAATTCCCCATCCGTTGTTATTGATCTGATACCACAGAGTTCAGAAAGTGCATGGCTCTCAATTTCCTTCCCCTGTAGGCAGCTGACCATCGCACTGTGATTAGTCTTAGGACACCCCATGAGCTGACTCAACATCGCTGATTCTCTTTCAGCCTTTTCCGGACTCCTCCAGGCCCAGTGGGCAGTGGGAACTCCACTATGAAACACACCACGGGCAACAAGGGGTTGGCTTGCCGGTGAAAGTAGGTGGAAACCTGCTAAAGCTCCTCCTTCACCTAAGCCAAGGAGAGTCAACCGAGCTGGATCCCCGCCAAAGACAGCTGCATTCTCACTCACCCACTTCAGAGCCAGATGTTGGTCCCACAACGCAACATTTCCTGGGGCAGCTGGAGGCAGGTACAGGAAACCCAGGGTACCCATGCGGAAATTCAAGTTGCACACAATGACATTCTCGGTAGCAGCTAATAAGCCTCCATTTAAGACATCTGCTGAGGCTGAGTTCATGCTAAAACCCCCACCATGGATCCATACAAGGATGGGCACTGGTGTGACTGGCCGTGGATGGGGCACCCAGATGTTGAGGAAGAGGCAGTCCTCTGAAAGTGGTGTGTTTGGAGTCCATATGGGTCGATCAGGGAAGGAATCGTTATTAAACTGAAGGCAAGAGTTGCCAAAGGTGGTGGCCTCCAAGACCTGGCTCCACGGCTGATGTGGAACCGGCTTCTGGAAACGCAGTTTGCCTATGGGGGGCTCAGCGTAGGGGATGCCCAGGTAGGCGGTCACAGAGCCAGGGCCAGCTGGGAGTCTTTTGCCTCTAATAGGACCGCTGCTGGTGACCACCACAGTATCATCTTCAGAGGTAGAGCTTGAAGCCAGGAGGAAGAGGAGGAGGCACAAGGAGGAGGGTGAAGTCCGGAAACAACGCATAGCGTCTGCAGCTGAAAGAATCAGAAATAGGAGTGGCATGGGGCAGCGGCGTAGGAAGGGGGTCAGGTCACCCCAGGTGCCATCACGGAGGGGGGTCACAAATTATCAAGGAACAATTACTGCCCTACTAGGGCGGTTTATAAAAGACTTTTTTAAAAAAAAATGCCTGCTCCAAAGGTCTTATCTTACTACACTAGGGATTATATAGCTATACAGTCGTACCTCAGGTTCCATACGCTTCAGGTTACATACACTTCAGGTTAAAGACTCTGCTAAACCAGAAATAGTACCTCGGGTAAGAACTTTGCTTCAGGATGAGAACAGAAATTGTGCTCTAGCAGCACGGCAGCAGCAGGAAGCCCCATTAGCTAAAGTGGTGCTTCAGGTTAAGAACAGTTTCAGGTTAAGAACGGACCTCCGGAACAAATTAAGTTCTTAACCCGAGGTACCACTGTATATGAAATTTCGTGCATATCAGTTAATATCTGGACCCTCCTCCACGAAAATAGCTGTTTACTCAGCCGTTTTCCTATGTAGTGAAGGCTGAAATTTCAATTCAGTGGAGCAGGGTCAAGATATGAACTGATATGCATGAAATTTCAGATATAGCTATATAATCCCTAGTGTAGTAAGATTTAGAGCAGGCATTTTTTTTAAAAGGGTTTTTTATGAACCGCCCTACTGCCCTAACCTCTGCTGGGCTTCCTGGGTCCTGGAAAGTCGGCCTATGTGAAGAAAATGAAACTAGGCTGAGTAGATTAGGCTTTGCCTTGCCTTCACCCCACCCCCTGCATGCAACCGATTGGCTAGCTGAGTTGGAGGCAGGGCGAAGGCAAGGCAAGGCCGAATCTTCTCAGCCTAGTCTCATTTTCTTCACATAGGCTGAATTTCCGGGCTGCTGGGAAAGCCTGACAAGGTCGCTGCCTGTCCTGCGCACCCCCTTCAGGCCCCAATCCCCCTCTGAAAAGTCTCTGCTTCCCCCAAAAGCGGAGCGCATGGGACAGTGACAGTGCCACCGCCCAGTTTGCCCATGCGTGGCACCAGGAGGAGCAGCTCCATGCCGCCCGGAGCACTCAGCAGGGCAGCCTCCCCTTTGCCCTCAGTCTCCCCTGCATGAAGCTAGGACCTCCCAAAGGCAGTTGTGTAATTAAAAGAAGATGAGAAAAATCAGCAAAGCAATTCTGTGGCTAACTGACCAATTCCTTTAAGTAGGGTCTATTAATGAAGTTCACACTTTTGACAACCAGTCTGATGCTTTTGCAGAAAAATATTCCTAGACACAAGACTTTTATTTTTTAAGCCCTTTCAGTCTCCCATCTCGAGGCAAACTGTACATTCCCACCCCTCTCCCCAAGGCTGGGTTGTTTACTTCTGTGTGCTTGTGTATCTGTGTCTCCCTTGAATCTATTAGGGACTCACCTTTCCTTTGATATCTATGCTACTGATTACTTCTGCCGTTCTAATTTTAGAGAAAGGCTTTAAGTAAAAAGGATCTGTACGATAGAATAACAGCGGTAACAATACATTGAAGACAAGTAAATATTTTGGGGAGGGGTGGTCCCAGAGCCCTAGCGCCACCATCCCAAAGAGGATAAAATGGGCGGACTTTGGTACTCTTTTGTCCTCCCCTCCCCCAATGTCTCGCTATCTGAGCTGGCTCCCTGCCTGTTGCGTTACATGCGGGGAAACCCATGTGGGGTTCCTCTCTGTGTAAAGTCTTCAAGCTGTGCCTGTGCACACCTGATAAATCTGCCCCATTGTCAAAATTTATCTTTTCCCCCACCTCTAGTCTCCGTTGTTGTATCTTCCTGGCTGAGGGGAAAAACAGAAGAAGGATGGCCATCAGTCAGGGGTGGTCTAGTTGAAATTCCTGCATTGCCCCAAGGGTTTGGCTAAATGATCTTCAGGGGTCCCTTCCAACTCTTCAATTCTCTGGTGCAGGCTTGTGCAGAGTTTTAGGCACAAGTTGGATGCGAGGAGTGCATAGGATTGCAGCCCATCTTATGCACCGTGGGCTCGGGAATAAGTCCCACTGGTCATGATGAGACTAGATTGCTGCTATGCAGTCCTGTTATTTAAATAAATGTTTTCCTTTCGGATAATACAGAGCACGGTGAAATCACAATAAGTAAAACCTCCAGTAGTTTCAAGCACTACTACAGGTTCCACATAATATCTGTACTGTATTGTTTACTGTGACAGCGCCTGCACTTTGGAACTCCCCGCCTATTGCGCATGCCTTTGCTAGACTCTTTTCGGGCAGCTGCTAAAGGCATTCTTCTTTAGGCAAGCATACCTAGATGCTTAGGAAGTTGAAGTAATTTTAATCTTAATATTTTAGCTTTTGTATGTTTTAAAGTAGGATTGTTAATTTTTCTTGATTCTACTGCTGTGGTGTGGTTGTTTTTGTTTTTGTTTTTGGTAAACCACTTTGCAGGTTTTTTAAAATAAATTTTATTAAATAAATAAACAATAAATATAAATAAAAAAAACACAAGCCATTTCTCGATCATGCACATCTATCCTAACAGCTACACTTTAAATAGAGAAATTGAAGAGAGTCCCCTTCTTGCTCAAATCTGCTGGGGCACCCAGTTACTCAAAGCATCGCCAGACTGTACTATGGGGGAAGTTTTTCCACAACTACTGCTGTACGGTTGGGCAGAAGGGGTTATCATTCAAATCTCCAAAGACCTCCAAACCTCCCACAAAAAGGGGTGTGTGAGGGTGAGGGTGTGTGTGTGTACATATATATATATATATATATATATATATATATATATATATACATACACACACACACACACACACACACACACACACACTGACACTTCTAGAACTCGAGTTTCTGATTTCCATTCCTATGGCAGATCTTCTACCTATTCTCCCATTCTCATTCATTTTTTAGAAGCACTCTGATTTGTGGTCTAGGGTTGTTGTGGTTCCAATTTTTGGTAATGTTCTGAGTTATCCCCCATGGCCAACTAACATCGCATTTCTGTTCCTTACAGACTCACCCTGATGGGGTTCTCCTGCTCCTCAGTGTCCCCCGCAGCTCACTCTGAAGAGGAAAGTTAGGTACTGCTGAGGATCCAGACCCTTATGTGAAAAACACCTGGGCGTGTGAGCATCTGCCCCATCTGTATGTAAGCAAAAGTCAATGACCAACTGGCTTTGCTCACCCAGTGGAGGAGGCTACACCTTGGCAGCATCCGATTGTATGTCAGGGTCAGAGAGGCCTTGCTTTTACATAAATTGGGGAAAGGTGGCAGGGAAAGACAAGGGCTGCCTCCAAAATAAGTCATACCCAGAGGAGATCCGCTACAATTAAAGGACATGACTATGATAGGACCATTGATTTCCATGTGTCCACTCTGAGTAGAATTTAAAAGGATTCAGCCCAAAGTTATTGCCATCCTCCTGTCTTTTGGCCACGGAGTAATACCAATGTCCACAATACAACTAACCAGTAGCCTGGCTCTCAGAACAAAATGCAGTGCTAAGTGAAAACCAGTGTGGTGTAGTGGTTAAGAGCGTAGTCTCGTAATCTGGGGAACCGGGTTCGTCTGCATTTCTGCATATTTCGATCTGCATATTTCTTTCAGGACGGACACATTTACATTTGTTCAATGAAAAATTCAGACGGAACAAAAGCTTCAAGGATCCCTAATCTTGAATCTTTCTTGTGTGGTTGGAAAATCCTCCATTGGAATGTGAACGATGACAAAGGGGGTAATCCAGTGCCTCTGAGAAATCTGAGGATACGAACCCTCTCCCCCGCCTGTGGTTTGTCAGCAACTGGTATTTCAGAAGCCTCGCTGCATCTGCATCTGTACTCGCGGCCCGTTCGCGCGATTTCTGTTCTCATCCTGAGGTAAAGTTACCTTGTGGTTGTCAGCAACTGGTATTCAGAAGCCTCGCTGCATCTGCATCTGTACCGCGGCGTTGCGCGATCTGTTTCTCATCCTGAGGTAAAGTTCTTAACCAAAGTACTACTCCAGGTTAGCGGAGTCTGTAACCTTAAGCAGCTTGTAATCCTGAGGTTTGTACAGTGGTACCTCAGGTTACAAATTGCTTCAGGTTGCATACACTTCAGGTTACAGACTCTGCTAACCCAGAAATAATACCTCAGGTTAAGAACTTTGCTTCAGGATGAGAACAGAAATCATGCTCCGGCGGCGCAGCAGCAGCGGGATGCCCCATTAGCTAAAGTGGTGCTTCAGGTTAAGAACAGTTTCAGGTTAAGAACGGACCTCCAGAACGAATTAAGTACTTAACCTGAGGTACCACTGTATTCTGGAGATACCAAATGCCTGAAAAGGGTTTACATTTTTATTCAATTCATATCACAGTAATTTATTTCCTCGTTCAGGTTTATTGCAATGAATACCTATGCTACCGTATGTTTTGTACATGGCTGCAGATCCCTCAGAGTTTGGCCTAGCTAAACAGTTCCTGAGGCATGGTTTTCGCCATCTCGGGCGTCATTCTTCACATCTTTCTCCTGAACAGGTGGTATACAACCTTCTTCAGATTTCCCTGCAAAAGGAAAAATAAACAATGGTTAGGGAAATAATTGATCAACAGAAGATCAAACTCCTTTTGCAGGCGATCTGATTAGTCTCCCGTTTTTGTTTCCATCAAAAGCAGGCCAAAATCCTTCCACCCTGCATTCTTATGGTACTCCTCATGCCCCATTGAAGATGGGGTCCTAAGCTGCTTCACAGAAAGTTCTCTGAGGCATCCAAGGGGAGCAAGTATTCCCTTCCCCAGCTCACATTTTTTAAAATGTTTTATCGTGGTGGCTCCTGCAGTGATGATAGCAAGGCTCCAGCCATCATGTCTCCTGTACCAGAATGCTGCAGGAACTAAAAATGAATTTTAAAAAATGAAAAAGGAGAATGGTGAACACATGGCCCTCCAGATGTTATTGGCCTGTAATGCTCAACCTTGACCACTGTGGATGAACAGATCTGCCCATTTTGGTTCTCCCAGCTTCTCATTTCTCTATTCTTATAATTCAGTTCTCCACATTTCTCCAGCAATTGGCAATTAAAAAAAACAAAACTCATGAAATGTTGTGTTGCAGATAACATAACTATTCATGTGGTGGCTCTTATTTTAATGTTTGATAAAGCCTGAAAAAGCCAGAGGATAAGTTAGTAAGGGAGTGGGGAGGAGAGGAGGGACCCTGGAGCACTGAGGGGACAAGACAGCTGTGGGGAGTTTGTGGAGGACCTCTGATAAGAGAAAAATGCCCCCTTTTAATAAAATCCCTTCTCCATATTTTCATCTAGCAATTGCACTACTAAGGGCTGTAGGTTCCCAATCCAGACCTGGGTATCCCCCCCTTTCCGAAGAGAGCCCTGAACTCACTTGCTTCTATTTCATTTGCTAGATGAGTGGCCAGGAAAGCACATCGTGAACCAGGTGGCGTCCATTTGTGCTGGGCTGCCTCTGTGGTAATGTGGAAGACGTTCTGCTCTGTAGCATTGTAGACTGGCCACTGTTCCTCATTCGGCGCAGATCGGTGGATTCCTGAGAAGCAACAAAGAAATCAGAGCTTTATTACAGCCTCAGACTCATTTCAGGGTGAGGAATCCAATTGCTTTGAAGAAGACAGAGCTGACATAAAAGTCAGAAGCAAGCAGTCATCCCAGAACATTTTCAGTTCTGAAAACCACAGATCAGTTACTAAATGGGAACATTTAGATTTTGTATACACTGAAATGTATGTGCACATGTTTTGTTTTACGATGGTTTAATGATCCAGCGTCCGCCATTTACTTATTTTTATTTTAATTTGAGTGGATTGTCAGATGTCGAAGCAGTTTGCAGAACAGATAAGATATTTTAAAATAATAACATTCAGAAGTTTACAAAGTAATCCAAAAAATTAAAAATTACAGTATAAATAAAATCAGCAGCTGAAAAATATTGTTGTGAGTCTGGGGGAGGGTAGCCTGTATGATTCCCAGCGTTCCTTGTAATTCTTGGGGTCCAAGACTTACTGGGGGGTTAATGCTGTTCAGCCTCTCCATCATAGCAGCAGGTTTGTATATCTGTGTGTGTGCAAATAAACCATATATCCTAAAGACACAGCAGTCTTCATCCCAAGGAAACCAAACCGAGGTGAAACGCCTGGAACCCTGAAATCTAGCACCCCTCAGATATTGGAATGGTGTGCAACAAGATAATTACTTCATTTATTTTTTAAAAACATAGTAAAAGGCATGTTGGCATATATGGGCAGGCATACTTAGTCCTTGGCACAGAAAGGTGAATACCTTACCCGCTTCTGGCAAACTCCGCCCAGTATCGCATCACTCGCCGGCTCAATTCCACCTCCGCCTCCGATGGGTCTTTCCGCATGATGCTGCCAAGTTTCCAAACAAGTAGGGGATCTCTGCTCCGTGGGGGGTCCCTATCCACTCTGGCCAAGGAAAGCCAGAACTGCGGTGGCTGAAGTAGAAAGCATAAACTGGGCTCCCAACTTCCCTGGCCTTTGCAGCAAACTCCATCATTGGGCATAAAAGGGGATAATCTCCCAAATACTGAATCAAGGCCAAACGGTACCGCTCTGGCCCTTGAAAGTATTCAGCATACTTCAGGGCTATAGCCCTGGCAACCTCTTCTGTTTTCAGAGTTTCCAGCACCCGCTCAAGAAGCTGTTCCCAGGTCAGGATCCCATCATTTACTTCAGCACTAGGAAGCATAAGGTATGCCATGAATGAGTCTTCATTAGCCATGACACCAGTGAGAATGGGTTTGCCTTGAATGCCTCTCTCCAGGAGCTTTCTGGGCTCATCAGTGAGAAATTCCCCATCTGCTGTTATTGATCTGATACCACAGAGTTCAGAAAGTGCATGGCTCTCAATTTCCTTTCCCTGGAGGCAGCTGACCATCGCACTGTGGTTAGTCTTAGGACACCCCATGAGCTGACTCAACATCGCTGATTCTCTTTCAGCCTTTTCAGGATTCCTCCAAATCCAGCGGGCAGTGGGAGCTCCACTATGAAGCACACCACGGGCAACAAGGGGTTGGCTTGCCGGTGAAAGCAGGTGAAAACCAACTGAGGCTGCTCCAGAACCGAGGCCAAGGAGAGTCAACCGAGCTGGATCCCCGCCAAAGACAACTGCATTCTCACTCATCCACTTCAGAGCCAGATGTTGGTCCCACAATGCAACATTTCCTGGGGCAGCTGGCGGCAAGTACAGGAAACCTAACATTCCTCCACGGTAATTCATGGAGGCCACAATGACATTCTCTGTAGCAGCTAGTAAGCCTCCATTTAAGACATCTGCTGAGGCTGAGTTCATGCTAAAACCCCCACCATAGATCCATAGGAGGATGGGCACTGGTGTGACTGGTCGTGGATGGGGCACCCAGATGTTGAGGAAGAGGCAGTCCTCTGAAAGTGGTGTGTTTGGAGTCCATATGGGTCGATCAGGGAAGGAATCGTTATTAAACTGAAGGCAAGAGTTGCCAAAGGTGGTGGCCTCCAAGACCTGGCTCCACGGCTGATGTGGAACCGGCTTCTGGAAACGCAGTTTGCCTATGGGGGGCTCAGCATAGGGGATGCCCAGGTAGGCGGTCACAGAGCCAGGGCCGGCCGGGAGTCTTTTGCCTCTAATAGGACCGCTACTGGTGACCACCACAGTATCATCTTCAGAGGCAGAGCTGGAAGCCAGGAGGAAGAGGAAGAGGCACAAGGAGGAGGGTGAAGTCCGGAAACAAGGCATAGCGGCTGCAGCTGAAAGAATCAGAAACAGGAGAGGCATGGGGCAGCAGCGTAGGAAGGGGGGCAGGGGGGGCAGGCCACCCCAGGTGCCATTACGGAGGGTGGTGACAAATTATCAAGGAACAATTACTGCCCTACTAGGGCGGTTCATAAAAAACTTTTTTTAAAAAAATGCCTGCTCCAAAGGTCTCATCTTACTACACAAGGGATTATATAGTTATACAGTGGTACCTTGGGTTACATACGCTTCAGGTTACAGACTCTGCTAATGCAGAAATAGTACCTTGGGTAAGAACTTTACTTCAGGATGAGAACAGAAATTGTGCAGCACGGCAGCAGCAGGAGGCCCCATTAGCTAAAGTGGTGCTTCAGGTTAAGAACAGTTTCAGGTTAAGAACGGACCTCCAGAACAAATTAAGTTCTTAACCCGAGGTACCACTGTATATGATATTTCGTGCATATCAGTTAATATCTTGACCCTCCTCCACAAAAATAGCTGTTTACTCAGCCGTTTTCCTATGTAGTGAAGGCTGAAATTTCAATTCAGTGGAGCAGGGTCAAGATATTAACTGATATTCATGAAATTTCAGATATAGCTATACAATCCCTAGTAGGATCATATATATATAAGTAAGATAAGACCTTTGGAGCAGGCTTTTTTTAAAAAAAAAAAAAGGTTTTTTATGAACCGCCCTACTGCCCTAACCTCTGCCGGGCTTCCCGGGTCCCGGAAAGTCGGCCTATGTGAAGAAAATGAGACTAGGCTGAGTAGATTAGGCCTTGCCTTGCCTTCACCCCGCCTCCTGCATGCAGCCAATTGGCCAGCTGGGTTGGGGGCGAAGGCAAGGCAAGGCTGAATCTACTCGGCCTAGTCTAATTTTCTTCACATAGGCCGACTTTCTGGGCTGCTGGGAAAGCCTGCCAAGGCCGCTGCCTGTCCTGCGCACCCCCTTCAGGCCCCAATCCCCCTCTGAAAAGTCTCCACTTCCCCCAAAAGCAGAGCGTGTGGGACAGTGGCAGTGCCACCGCCCAGTTTTGCCCATGCGTGGCACCAGGAGGAGCGGCTCAATGCCGCCCTGAGCACTCAGCAGGGCAGCCTCCCCTTTGCCCTCAGTCTCCCCTGCATGAAGCTAGGACCTCCCAAAGGCAGTTGTGTAATAAAAAGAAGATGAGAAAAATCAGCAAAGCAATTCTGTGGCTAACTGACCAATTCCTTTAAGTAGGGTCTATTAATGAAGTTCACACTTTTGACAACCAGTCTGATGCTTTTGCAGAAAAATATTCCTAGACACAAGACTAAATATTTTGGGGAGGGTGGTCCCAGAGCCCTAGCGCCACCATCCCAAAGAGGATAAAATGGGCGGACTTTGGTACTCTTTTGTCCTCCCCTCCCCCAATGTCTCGCTATCTGAGCTGGCTCCCTGCCTGTTGCGTTACATGCGGGGAAACCCATGTGGGGTTCCTCTCTGTGTAAAGTCTTCAAGCTGTGCCTGTGCACACCTGATAAATCTGCCCCATTGTCAAAATTTATCTTTTCCCCCACCTCTAGTCTCCGTTGTTGTATCTTCCTGGCTGAGGGGAAAAACAGAAGAAGGATGGCCACCGGTCAGGGATGGTCCTGCTGGAGATTCCTGCATTGCCCCAGGAGTTTGGCTAAATGACCCTCAGGGGTCCCTTCCAACTCTACAATTCTCTGGTGCAGGCTCATGCAGAGTTTTAGGTACAAGTTGGATGCAAGGGGTGCATAGGATTGCAGCCCATCTTATGCACCGTGGGCTCGGGAATAAGTCCCACTGATCATGATGAGACTGGATTGCTGCTGTGCAGTCCTGTTTCTTAAATAAATATTTTCCTTTTCGGATAATACAGAGCACGGTGAAATCACAATAAATAAAACCTCCCCTTCAGTAGTTTCAAGCACTACTACAGGTCCACATAATATCTGCACTGCATTGTTTACTGTGACAGCGCCTGCACTTTGGAACTCCTCTCCTATTGCAACAAAGCATGTGCCTTTGCTAGACTCTTTTCGGGCACCTGCTAAAAGCATTCTTCTTTAGGCAAGCATACCTAGATGCTTAGGAAGTTGAAGTAATTTCAATCTTTTGTATGTTTTAAAGTAGGATTGTTAATTTTTCTTGATTCTATCTACTGCTGTGGTGTGTTTTTGGGGGGTTTTTTTGTTTTGGTAAACCACTTTGCAGGTTTTTTAAAATAATTTTTATTAAATAAATAAACAATAAATATAAATACAATAACACAAGCCATCACTTGATCATGCACATCGATCTTCACAGCTACACCTTAAATAGAGAAATTGAAGAGAGTCCCCTTCTTGTTCAAATCTGCTGGGGCATCTACACCCAGTTACTCAAAGCATCACCAAACTGCACTATGGGTGAAGTTTCTCCACAACTACTCGAGTTTCTGATTTCCATTCCTATGGCAGATCCTCTACCTATTCTCCCATTCTCATTCATTTTTTAGAAGCACTCTGATTTGTGGTCTAGGGTTGTTGTGGTTCCAATTTTTGGTAATGTTCTGAGTTATCCCCCATGGCCAACTCACATCGCATTTCTGTTCCTTACAGACTCACCCTGATGGGTTTCTCCTGCTCCTCAGTGTCCCCTGCAGCTCACTCTGAAGAGGAGAGTTAGGTACTGCTGAGGATCCAGACCCTTATATGAAAAACACCTGGGCGTGTGAGCATCTGCCCATCTGTACGTATGCAAAAGTCAATGACCGACTGGCTTTGCTCACCCAGTGGGAGGAGGCTACACCTTGGCAGCATCCGAATGTATGTCAGGGGTCAGAGAGACCTTGCTTTTACATAAATTGGGGGAAGGTGCAGGGGGAAAGACAAAGGGCTGCCTCCAAAATAAGTCATACCCAGAGGAGATCCACTACAATTAAAGGACATGACTATGATAGGACCATTGATTTCCATGTGTCCACTCTGAGTAGAACTTAACAGGATTCAGCCCAAAGTTATTGCAATCCTCCTGTCCTTTGGCTACGGAGTAATACCAATGTCCACAAATACAACCAACCAGTAGCCTGGCTCTCAGAACAAAATGCAGTGCTTAAGTGAAAACCAGTGTGGTGTAGTGGTTAAGAGAGGTAGTCTCGTAATCTGGGGAACCGGGTTCGCGTCTCCGCTCCTCCACATGCAGCTGCTGGGTGACCTTGGGCCAGTCACACTTCTCTGAAGTCTCTCAGCCTCACTCACCTCACAGAGTGTTTGCTGTGAGGGAGGAAGGGAAAGGAGAATGTTAGCCGCTTTGAGACTCCTGAAGGGGAGTGAAAGGCGGGATATCAAATCCAAACTCCTCCTCCTCTTCTTCTTCTTCTTCTTCTTCTTCTTCTTCTTCTTCTTCTGTCAGCACAAAGGGCTTGTCATGGGCCAGGAGTCGGCTTCACCTGCTGAGCAGCAGCCTGAAGTTGCAGAAGGCAGAGTGACTCCACCTGCTGCTGATCAACCTTCTAGCTCATGAGGAGAACCAGATGGCTCCAGCTTTCTTAAGCAGGGTTTGCAGCGTCAGTCAGTTGCTAGAAACATTTGTCATTCCTGGCCAGACCTTGCTGCTTTTTGCTTCTTGTGACCCTGGACTCTCAACTTCCTTGATCCCCCGGACTGTTAAACTACGTGAAGTGAGATACTCCTGACTTTAGGACTGGACTGAACTTTGCGTACGGACTCTGCCTCCAGGCAAATACCCACCCAGGCAAATACCCACCCAGACAGATGGGCGAGATATAAATAAATTATTATTATTATTATTATTATTATTATTATTATTATTATTAAGCAAATAATCTGTAGGAAAATGAGAAACTGAAGCGGACAAATTTGCTTCTGTAGAATGAGAAAAACTCCTGATGGATCTAGGGTCAGCCTTAGCATTAGGGCAGAGAAAGACTATTGCCTTAGAAGGCTGATGCTGGAGTGATGGGGAGTTTTAGCGAGTGTGCGCGCACACACACACACACACACACCCACTCCTCCTGGAAACCATGGAAAAGATGGGCATATTTGTCCATTTCAGTTTCTCGTTTCTTCCCTTCTTAAATTCAATTTCTCCACATTTCCACATCAGTTGGTCATTTTCTAAAAGAACATCCTCGTGAAAATTCACGGGCATTTTAGTGCGAGTGTCTCTCCTAATATATATATTTTTATGCAATTTTGCCCAATACTCATATCTCTGCAAACTAATTTCCCCTAATATAACACATTTTTGTATGTCATTTTCTCCAATATATGCCTTTCTACGCACACTTTACCCTAGTAATATGTGTTTTTGTAAACATTGCTTCACTGGAAAATTGCATTGCAAAATTCAGAGAATTGCACATTTTGAAGGATCTCTGTGCTTTGGTTGGTATGTTGCAACAGAAAATGTGAATTAGGTAAACTTGCCTTTCAATGCAAACTAAATGGAATTTCCCCCTCATCCCTGTCAGCATTCCCCTCAGTAGGAGATTAGGGCTGTATGGGCCACAAGTTATGCAAACCAGGAAGCTAGGCTGCTGCCCTCAAATTGCCAGTGTTGAAAGTAGTGGTCATTGAATTATGGATCAGTCGATTTCTTGTCCAGATAAGTCTTGCGTGCTTCATTTAAGTTTTATTCATCAGTTCTTCCCATCCCAATGTGTGATAAAAGCACTTTAAAAACTACGTGAACATTTGCATTATATTTGAAACAGTTTCCCTCCCACAAAATGTGCATTTTGTACATGCTTTGTGCATTTTATGCATGTTTTGACTTAGCATATCTACCTTATATGCATTTTGTTATGTTTTTGCACTGAGAACCGGATCATAGTATTTAGTGTGCTGTCGAAAACCAAATCATACCTATGTTCCATTTCCAGGATGTGCAAATTACATCGGCTCAATTAGAAGAATGCAGACTGAGCAAACATTTCAAGGATCTTTATTAGGAATAAGTTGTTGGCAAAGCATTAAAATTCTGTAAATGAGATGGAGGCAAAGGGGGTGACCCAGCTAACCTTGATTAGAACAAGGCTCACACCATTCCCTTCAGTTTTTCTGCCACTCAAGCAGTCAGTATCTATATATACTTAGTGTGTGAAGAGGCTATCCAAAATTCACAGGCCAGTCTCACTGGCCATCCTACCTAGGGAATGTGTGGTTGGCACCGTTCCAGATCCCCATTCTTCTTGAAGAAACCCAAGTACAGTGGTACCTCAGGTTACAAATTGCTTCAGGTTGCATACACTTCAGGTTACAGACTCTGCTAACCCAGAAATAATACCTCAGGTTAAGAACTTTGCTTCAGGATGAGAACAGAAATCATGCTCCGGCGGCGCAGCAGCAGCGGGATGCCCCATTAGCTAAAGTGGTGCTTCAGGTTAAGAACAGTTTCAGGTTAAGAACGGACCTCCGGAACGAATTAAGTACTTAACCTGAGGTACCACTGTATTCTGGAGATACCAAATGCCTGAAAAGGGTTTACATTTTTATTCAATTCATATCACAGTAATTTATTTCCTCGTTCAGGTTTATTGCAATGAATACCTATGCTACCGTATGTTTTGTACATGGCTGCAGATCCCTCAGAGTTTGGCCTAGCTAAACAGTTCCTGAGGCATGGTTTTCGCCATCTCGGGCGTCATTCTTCACATCTTTCTCCTGAACAGGTGGTATACAACCTTCTTCAGATTTCCCTGCAAAAGGAAAAATAAACAATGGTTAGGGGAAATAATTGATCAACAGAAGATCAAACTCCTTTTGCAGGCGATCTGATTAGTCTCCCAGTTTTTGTTTTCCATCAAAAGCAGGCCAAAATCCTTCCACCCTGCATTCTTATGGTACTCCTCATGCCCCATTGAAGATGGGGTCCTAAGCTGCTTCACAGAAAGTTCTCTGAGGCATCCAAGGGGAGCAAGTATTCCCTTCCCCAGCTCACATTTTTTAAAATGTTTTATCGTGGTGGCTCCTGCAGTGATGATAGCAAGGCTCCAGCCATCATGTCTCCTGTACCAGAATGCTGCAGGGACTAAAAATGAATTTTAAAAAATGAAAAAGGAGAATGGGGAACACATGGCCCTCCAGATGTTATTGGCCTGTAATGCTCATCCTTGACCACTGTGGATGAACAGATCTGCCCATTTTGGTTCTCCCAGCTTCTCATTTCTCTATTCTTATGATTCAGTTCTCCACATTTCTCCAGCAATTGGCAATTAAAAAAAACAAAACTCATGAAATGTTGTGTTGCAGATAACATAACTATTCATGTGGTGGCTCTTATTTTAATGTTTGATAAAGCCTGAAAAAGCCAGAGGATAAGTTAGTAAGGGAGTGGGGAGGAGAGGAGGGACCCTGGAGCACTGAGGGGACAAGACAGCTGTGGGGAGTTTGTGGAGGACCTCTGATAAGAGAAAAATGCCCCCTTTTAATAAAATCCCTTCTCCATATTTTCATCTAGCAATTGCACTACTAAGGGCTGTAGGTTCCCAATCCAGACCTGGGTATCCCCCCTTTCCGAAGAGAGCCCTGAACTCACTTGCTTCTATTTCATTTGCTAGATGAGTGGCCAGGAAAGCACATCGTGAACCAGGTGGCGTCCATTTGTGCTGGGCTGCCTCTGTGGTAATGTGGAAGACGTTCTGCTCTGTAGCATTGTAGACTGGCCACTGTTCCTCATTCGGCGCAGATCCGGTGGGATTCCTGTAGAAGCAACAAAGAAATCAGAGCTTTATTACAGCCTCAGACTCATTTCAGGGTGAGGATCCAATGCTTGAAGAAGACAGAGCTGACATAAAAGTCAGAAGCAAGCAGTCATCCCTAGAACATTTTCAGTTCTGAAAACCACAGATCAGTTACTAAATGGGAACATTTAGATTTGTATACACTGAAATGTATGTGCACATGTTGTTGTTTTTTACGATGGTTTAATGATCCAGGTTCCGCCATTTACTTATTTTTATTTAATTGAGTGGATTGTCAGATGTCGAAGCAGTTTGCAGGAACAGAATAGATATTTTAAAATAATAACATTCAGAAGTTTACAAAAAGTAATCCAAAAAATTAAAAAATTACAGTATAAATAAAATCAGCAGCTGAAAATATTGTTGTGAGTCTGGGGGAGGGTAGCCTGTATGATCCCAGCGTTCCTTGTAATTCTTGGGGTCCAAGACTTACTGGGGGGTTAATGCTGTCAGCCTCTCCATCATAGCAGCAGGTTGTATATCTGTGTGTGTGCAAATAAACCATATATCCTAAAGACACAGCAGTCTTCATCCCAAGGAAACCAAACCGAGGTGAAACGCCTGGAACCCTGAAATCTAGCACCCCTCAGATATTGGAATGGTGTGCAACAAGATAATTACTTCATTTATTTTTAAAAACATAGTAAAAGGCATGTTGGCATATATGGGCAGGCATACTTAGTCCTTGGCACAGAAAGGTGAATACCTTACCCGCTTCTGGCAAACTCCGCCCAGTATCGCATCACTCGCCGGCTCAATTCCACCTCCGCCTCCGATGGGTCTTTCCGCAATGATGCTGCCAAGTTTCCAAACAAGTAGGGGATCTCTGCTCCGTGGGGGGTCCCTATCCACTCTGGCCAAGGAAAGCCAGAACTGCGGTGGCTGAAGTAGAAAGCATAAACTGGGCTCCCAACTTCCCTGGCCTTTGCAGCAAACTCCATCATTGGGCATAAAAGGGGATAATCTCCCAAATACTGAATCAAGGCCAAACGGTACCGCTCTGGCCCTTGAAAGTATTCAGCATACTTCAGGGCTATAGCCCTGGCAACCTCTTCTGTTTTCAGAGTTTCCAGCACCCGCTCAAGAAGCTGTTCCCAGGTCAGGATCCCATCATTTACTTCAGCACTAGGAAGCATAAGGTATGCCATGAATGAGTCTTCATTAGCCATGACACCAGTGAGAATGGGTTTGCCTTGAATGCCTCTCTCCAGGAGCTTTCTGGGCTCATCGGTGAGAAATTCCCCATCTGCTGTTATTGATCTGATACCACAGAGTTCAGAAAGTGCATGGCTCTCAATTTCCTTTCCCTGGAGGCAGCTGACCATCGCACTGTGGTTAGTCTTAGGACACCCCATGAGCTGACTCAACATCGCTGATTCTCTTTCAGCCTTTTCCGGATTCCTCCAAATCCAGCGGGCAGTGGGAGCTCCACTATGAAGCACACCACGGGCAACAAGGGGTTGGCTTGCCGGTGAAAGCAGGTGAAAACCAACTGAGGCTGCTCCAGAACCGAGGCCAAGGAGAGTCAACCGAGCTGGATCCCCGCCAAAGACAACTGCATTCTCACTCATCCACTTCAGAGCCAGATGTTGGTCCCACAATGCAACATTTCCTGGGGCAGCTGGCGGCAAGTACAGGAAACCTAACATTCCTCCACGGTAATTCATGGAGGCCACAATGACATTCTCTGTAGCAGCTAGTAAGCCTCCATTTAAGACATCTGCTGAGGCTGAGTTCATGCTAAAACCCCCACCATAGATCCATAGGAGGATGGGCACTGGTGTGACTGGTCGTGGATGGGGCACCCAGATGTTGAGGAAGAGGCAGTCCTCTGAAAGTGGTGTGTTTGGAGTCCATATGGGTCGATCAGGGAAGGAATCGTTATTAAACTGAAGGCAAGAGTTGCCAAAGGTGGTGGCCTCCAAGACCTGGCTCCACGGCTGATGTGGAACCGGCTTCTGGAAACGCAGTTTGCCTATGGGGGGCTCAGCATAGGGGATGCCCAGGTAGGCGGTCACAGAGCCAGGGCCAGCCGGGAGTCTTTTGCCTCTAATAGGACCGCTACTGGTGACCACCACAGTATCATCTTCAGAGGCAGAGCTGGAAGCCAGGAGGAAGAGGAAGAGGCACAAGGAGGAGGGTGAAGTCCGGAAACAAGGCATAGCGGCTGCAGCTGAAAGAATCAGAAACAGGAGAGGCATGGGGCAGCAGCGTAGGAAGGGGGGCAGGGGGGGCAGGCCCCCCCAGGTGCCATTACGGAGGGTGGTGACAAATTATCAAGGAACAATTACTGCCCTACTAGGGCGGTTCATAAAAAACTTTTTTTTAAAAAATGCCTGCTCCAAAGGTCTCATCTTACTACACTAGGGATTATATAGTTATACAGTGGTACCTTGGGTTACATACGCTTCAGGTTACAGACTCCGCTAATGCAGAAATAGTACCTTGGGTAAGAACTTTACTTCAGGATGAGAACAGAAATTGTGCAGCACGGCAGCAGCAGGAGGCCCCATTAGCTAAAGTGGTGCTTCAGGTTAAGAACAGTTTCAGGTTAAGAACGGACCTCCAGAACAAATTAAGTTCTTAACCCGAGGTACCACTGTATATGATATTTCGTGCATATCAGTTAATATCTTGACCCTCCTCCACAAAAATAGCTGTTTACTCAGCCGTTTGCCTATGTAGTGAAGGCTGAAATTTCAATTCAGTGGAGCAGGGTCAAGATATTAACTGATATTCATGAAATTTCAGATATAGCTATACAATCCCTAGTAGGATCATATATATATAAGTAAGATAAGACCTTTGGAGCAGGCTTTTTTTTAAAAAAAAAAAAAGGTTTTTTATGAACCGCCCTACTGCCCTAACCTCTGCCGGGCTTCCCGGGTCCCGGAAAGTCGGCCTATGTGAAGAAAATGAGACTAGGCTGAGTAGATTAGGCCTTGCCTTGCCTTCACCCCGCCTCCTGCATGCAGCCAATTGGCCAGCTGGGTTGGGGGCGAAGGCAAGGCAAGGCCGAATCTACTCGGCCTAGTCTAATTTTCTTCACATAGGCCGACTTTCTGGGCTGCTGGGAAAGCCTGCCAAGGCCGCTGCCTGTCCTGCGCACCCCCTTCAGGCCCCAATCCCCCTCTGAAAAGTCTCCACTTCCCCCAAAAGCGGAGCGTGTGGGACAGTGGCAGTGCCACCGCCCAGTTTTGCCCATGCGTGGCACCAGGAGGAGCGGCTCAATGCCGCCCTGAGCACTCAGCAGGGCAGCCTCCCCTTTGCCCTCAGTCTCCCTTGCATGAAGCTAGGACCTCCCAAAGGCAGTTGTGTAATTAAAAGAAGATGAGAAAAATCAGCAAAGCAATTCTGTGGCTAACTGACCAATTCCTTTAAGTAGAGTCTATTAATGAAGTTCACACTTTTGACAACCAGTCTGATGCTTTTGCAGAAAAATATTCCTAGACACAAGACTAAATATTTTGGGGAGGGTGGTCCCAGAGCCCTAGCGCCACCATCCCAAAGAGGATAAAATGGGCGGACTTTGGTACTCTTTTGTCCTCCCCTCCCCCAATGTCTCGCTATCTGAGCTGGCTCCCTGCCTGTTGCGTTACATGCGGGGAAACCCATGTGGGGTTCCTCTCTGTGTAAAGTCTTCAAGCTGTGCCTGTGCACACCTGATAAATCTGCCCCATTGTCAAAATTTATCTTTTCCCCCACCTCTAGTCTCCGTTGTTGTATCTTCCTGGCTGAGGGGAAAAACAGAAGAAGGATGGCCACCGGTCAGGGATGGTCCTGCTGGAGATTCCTGCATTGCCCCAGGAGTTTGGCTAAATGACCCTCAGGGGTCCCTTCCAACTCTACAATTCTCTGGTGCAGGCTCATGCAGAGTTTTAGGTACAAGTTGGATGCAAGGGGTGCATAGGATTGCAGCCCATCTTATGCACCGTGGGCTCGGGAATAAGTCCCACTGATCATGATGAGACTAGATTGCTGCTGTGCAGTCCTGTTTCTTAAATAAATATTTTCCTTTTCGGATAATACAGAGCATGGTGAAATCACAATAAATAAAACCTCCCCTTCAGTAGTTTCAAGCACTACTACAGGTCCACATAATATCTGCACTGCATTGTTTACTGTGACAGCGCCTGCACTTTGGAACTCCTCGCCTATTGCAACAAAGCATGTGCCTTTGCTAGACTCTTTTCGGGCACCTGCTAAAAGCATTCTTCTTTAGGCAAGCATACCTAGATGCTTAGGAAGTTGAAGTAATTTCAATCTTTTGTATGTTTTAAAGTAGGATTGTTAATTTTTCTTGATTCTATCTGCTGCTGTGGTGTGTTTTTGTGGGGGGTTTTTTGTTTTGGTAAACCACTTTGCAGGTTTTTTAAAATAAATATTATTAAATAAATAAACAATAAATATAAATACAATAACACAAGCCATCACTTGATCATGCACATCTATCTTAACAGCTACAGCTTAAATAGAGAAATTGAAGAGAGTCCCCTCATTCATTTTTTAGAAGCACTCCGAATTGTGGTCTAGGGTTGTTGTGGTTCCAATTTTTGGTAATGTTCTGAGTTATCCCCCATGGCCAACTCACATCACATTTCTGTTCCTTACAGACTCACCCTGATGGGGTTCTCCTGCTCCTCAGTGTCCCCTGCAACTCACTCTGAAGAGGAGAGTTAGGTACTGCTGAGGATCCAGACCCTTATATGAAAAACACCTGGGCGTGGGAGCATCTGCCCATCTGTACGTATGCAAAAGTCAATGACCGACTGGCTTTGCTCACCCAGTGGGAGGAGGCTACAGCTTGGCAGCATCCGAATGTATGTCAGGGGTCAGAGAGACCTTGCTTTTACATAAATTGGGGGAAGGTGCAGGGGGAAAGACAAAGGGCTGCCTCCAAAATAAGTCATACCCAGAGGAGATCCACTACAATTAAAGGACATGACTATGATAGGACCATTGATTTCCATGTGTCCACTCTGAGTAGAACTTAACAGGATTCAGCCCAAAGTTATTGCCATCCTCCTGTCCTTTGGCTATGGAGTAATACCAATGTCCACAAATACAACCAACCAGTAGCCTGGCTCTCAGAACAAAATGCAGTGCTTAAGTGAAAACCAGTGTGGTGTAGTGGTTAAGAGAGGTAGTCTCGTAATCTGGGGAACCGGGTTCGCGTCTCCGCTCCTCCACATGCAGCTGCTGGGTGACCTTGGGCCAGTCACACTTCTCTGAAGTCTCTCAGCCTCACTCACCTCACAGAGTGTTTGCTGTGAGGGAGGAAGGGAAAGGAGAATGTTAGCCGCTTTGAGACTCCTGAAGGGGAGTGAAAGGCGGGATATCAAATCCAAACTCCTCCTCCTCCTCCTCCTCTTCTTCTTCTTCTTCTTCTTCTTCTTCTTCTTCTTCTTCTGTCAGCACAAAGGGCTTGTCATGGGCCAGGAGTCGGCTTCACCTGCTGAGCAGCAGCCTGAAGTTGCAGAAGGCAGAGTGACTCCACCTGCTGCTGATCAACCTTCTAGCTCATGAGGAGAACCAGATGGCTCCAGCTTTCTTAAGCAGGGTTTGCAGCGTCAGTCAGTTGCTAGAAACATTTGTCATTCCTGGCCAGACCTTGCTGCTTTTTGCTTCTTGTGACCCTGGACTCTCAACTTCCTTGATCCCCCGGACTGTTAAACTACGTGAAGTGAGATACTCCTGACTTTAGGACTGGACTGAACTTTGCGTACGGACTCTGCCTCCAGGCAAATACCCACCCAGGCAAATACCCACCCAGACAGATGGGCGAGATATAAATAAATTATTATTATTATTATTATTATTATTATTATTATTATTAAGCAAATAATCTGTAGGAAAATGAGAAACTGAAGCGGACAAATTTGCTTCTGTAGAATGAGAAAAACTCCTGATGGATCTAGGGTCAGCCTTAGCATTAGGGCAGAGAAAGACTATTGCCTTAGAAGGCTGATGCTGGAGTGATGGGGAGTTTTAGCGAGTGTGCGCGCACACACACACACACACACACCCCACTCCTCCTGGAAACCATGGAAAAGATGGGCATATTTGTCCATTTCAGTTTCTCGTTTCTTCCCTTCTTAAATTCAATTTCTCCACATTTCCACATCAGTTGGTCATTTTCTAAAAGAACATCCTCGTGAAAATTCACGGGCATTTTAGTCCGAGTGTCTCTCCTAATATATATATTTTTATGCAATTTTGCCCAATACTCATATCTCTGCAAACTAATTTCCCCTAATATAACACATTTTTGTATGTCATTTTCTCCAATATATGCCTTTCTACGCACACTTTACCCTAGTAATATGTGTTTTTGTAAACATTGCTTCACTGGAAAATTGCATTGCAAAATTCAGAGAATTGCACATTTTGAAGGATCTCTGTGCTTTGGTTGGTATGTTGCAACAGAAAATGTGAATTAGGTAAACTTGCCTTTCAATGCAAACTAAATGGAATTTCCCCCTCATCCCTGTCAGCATTCCCCTCAGTAGGAGATTAGGGCTGTATGGGCCACAAGTTATGCAAACCAGGAAGCTAGGCTGCTGCCCTCAAATTGCCAGTGTTGAAAGTAGTGGTCATTGAATTATGGATCAGTCGATTTCTTGTCCAGATAAGTCTTGCGTGCTTCATTTAAGTTTTATTCATCAGTTCTTCCCATCCCAATGTGTGATAAAAGCACTTTAAAAACTACGTGAACATTTGCATTATATTTGAAACAGTTTCCCTCCCACAAAATGTGCATTTTGTACATGCTTTGTGCATTTTATGCATGTTTTGACTTAGCATATCTACCTTATATGCATTTTGTTATGTTTTTGCACTGAGAACCGGATCATAGTATTTAGTGTGCTGTCGAAAACCAAATCATACCTATGTTCCATTTCCAGGATGTGCAAATTACATCGGCTCAATTAGAAGAATGCAGACTGAGCAAACATTTCAAGGATCTTTATTAGGAATAAGTTGTTGGCAAAGCATTAAAATTCTGTAAATGAGATGGAGGCAAAGGGGGTGACCCAGCTAACCTTGATTAGAACAAGGCTCACACCATTCCCTTCAGTTTTTCTGCCACTCAAGCAGTCAGTATCTATATATACTTAGTGTGTGAAGAGGCTATCCAAAATTCACAGGCCAGTCTCACTGGCCATCCTACCTAGGGAATGTGTGGTTGGCACCGTTCCAGATCCCCATTCTTCTTGAAGAAACCCAAGTACAGTGGTACCTCAGGTTACAAATTGCTTCAGGTTGCATACACTTCAGGTTACAGACTCTGCTAACCCAGAAATAATACCTCAGGTTAAGAACTTTGCTTCAGGATGAGAACAGAAATCTGCTGCTGTGGTGTGTTTTTTGGGGGTTTTTTGTTTTGGTAAACCACTTTGCAGGTTTTTTAAAATAAATTTTATTAAATAAATAAACAATAAATATAAATACAATAACACAAGCCATCACTTGATCATGCACATCGATCTTCACAGCTACACCTTAAATAGAGAAATTGAAGAGAGTCCCCTTCTTGTTCAAATCTGCTGGGGCATCTACACCCAGTTACTCAAAGCATCACCAAACTGCACTATGGGTGAAGTTTCTCCACAACTACTCGAGTTTCTGATTTCCATTCCTATGGCAGATCCTCTACCTATTCTCCCATTCTCATTCATTTTTTAGAAGCACTCTGATTTGTGGTCTAGGGTTGTTGTGGTTCCAATTTTTGGTAATGTTCTGAGTTATCCGCCATGGCCAATTCACATCACATTTCTGTTCCTTACACACTCACCCTGATGGGTTTCTCCTGCTCCTCAGTGTCCCCTGCAGCTCACTCTGAAGAGGAAAGTTAGGTACTGCTGAGGATCCAGACCCTTATATGAAAAACACCTGGGCGTGGGAGCATCTGCCCATCTGTACGTATGCAAAAGTCAATGACCGACTGGCTTTGCTCACCCAGTGGGAGGAGGCTACAGCTTGGCAGCTGCTGGGTGACCTTGGGCCAGTCACACTTCTCTGAAGTCTCTCAGCCTCACTCACCTCACAGAGTGTTTGCTGTGAGGGAGGAAGGGAAAGGAGAATGTTAGCCGCTCTGAGACTCCTGAAGGGGAGTGAAAGGCGGGATATCAAATCCAAACTACTACTACTACCACTACTACTACTCTTCTTCTTCTTCTTCTTCTTCTTCTTCTTCTTCTTCTTCTTCTGTCAGCACAAAGGGCTTGTCATGGGCCAGGAGTCGGCTTCACCTGCTGAGCAGCAGCCTGAAGTTGCAGAAGGCAGAGTGACTCCACCTGCTGCTGATCAACCTTCTAGCTCGTGAGGAGAACCAGATGGCTCCAGCTTTCTTAAGCAGCCTGTCCTAGAAACAACATTTGTCATTCCTGGACAGACCTTGCTGCTTTTTGCTTCTTGTGACCCTGGACTCTCAGCTTCCTTGATCCCCCAGACTGTTAAACTACGTGAACTGAGATACTCCTGACTTTAGGACTGGACTGAACTTTGCATACAGACTCTGCCTCCAGGCAAATACCCACCCACCCTGAGACTTGACTGGTTGGCTGGCCACTCCTGCCACTGAGCTCTGCCATGAGTGGGCATCATGGGATACAAGAGGGCTTGGCTCATAGGGGTTATTCTTCTTATATTGTCTTCTGGGTAGGAACCACAACAACCCCTCATTTAAGAAACCTGGAACTCCATTTTGGATTTTTAAGTAGCAGCTTTCGAACAATACACACCCATTCCTAAGATATCATTGCAGGCAATGATATTTATTCATATATCCTAAAAGCACCACTGTCTCCGCTGTCCATCATTCCAAGGAAACTGAATCCTGCATAAGCACTGCGATCCTGTTGGCATGCAACTCTTTCCAGCGTGTCAATGTTTGAGGCATGCTGGGTTCAAACCTAGTTTTATCCTTGCTTTTTTCCTGCACTTTATGCTTCCACCACTCTATGAGGTTTATTCTTTTCTATACAGATTTACAACTATACCTGTAATGAATCCCAGCTTTCTCATTCTGGTTGTATGAAGCCAGGGCTGAAGATCCTGTGGCCCTCCATCTATTGTTTGGCTGCAGCTCCCACCAGAAGAGATTGGGTAGAGATAATAGCAAATGTAGCCCAACAAGATAGGAACGTCTACTGGGTCTCTGTTCCAGCATAAGCACTGGGTAGCCTGGTTCTACTGATACACTGGTTAACCAGTAGGTCACTTCACCAGAGGTGAATGAGATTGTCACTAGGATTTCTTTAATTTTAATGCTGCTGAGAAAACATTTCAATTTAAAAAAAGAATGTGGCTGGTAAACTCTTTCCATGCTATTTAAAATATAGATCATGTAAGTTAAGTTGTATGGGATCAATTCCAACCTGTTACCTCCGAGGATGTGGACAGGCTGCTTGGACGAGTGAAACCAACCACCTGTCTCCTTGATCCTTCCCCATCCTGGCTTATAAAAGCTAGCCGGGAAGGACTGAGCGATGGGCTTCGTGGGGTGGTGAATGCTTCTCTCTGCGAGGGAGCCTTCCCAGACCCACTGAAAGAGGCGGTTATCAAACCGCTTCTTAAAAAACCATCTTTAGATGCGGCCAATATGGCCAACTATCGCCCAGTCTCAAATCTTCCATTCTTGGGCAAGGTGATTGAGCGAGTGGTTGCTGAACAACTCCAGGCTCGCCTGGAAGAAGCGGACCATTTGGATCCCTTCCAGTCGGGATTCAGGCCTCATCATGGGACTGAAACTGCCTTGGTCGCACTGGTTGATGATCTCCGGTGAGCTAGGGACAAAGGTGAGAGCTGTTTCCTAGTTCTGCTGGATATCTCAGCGGCATTTGATACCATCGACCACAGCATCCTTCTGGACAGTCTAGAGGGGTTGGGGGCACTGTTATACAGTGGTTCTGCTCCTTCCTCCTGGGTCGTGTTCAGCAAGTCGTGGGGTGAGTGCAGTGGCGTAGCGTGGGGGTGCAGGGGGGGCCGGCCGCACCGGGCGCAACATCTGGGGTTAGGGCAAATCCACAGGTTAGGGGGCGCAAATCCACGGGTTAAGGGGCACAAATCCACGGGTTAGGGGACGCAAATTACTTGCCTTGCCCCGGGTGCTGACAACCCATGCTACGCCACTGGGTGAGTGTTCAGACCCCTGTGGAGTGCCTCAGGGTTCTGTCCTTTCCCCATCCTTTTCAACATCTACATGCAACCGCTGGGAGAGATCATCAGGGGGTTTGGGCTGGGTGTCCATCAATATGCGGATGATACGCAGTTCTACCTCTCTTTCATATCAGAACCAGTGAAGGTGGTGAAGGTCCTGTGTGAGTGTCTGAAGGCGGTTGGAGGATGGATGGTGGCTTACAGATTGAGGCTGAATCCTGACAAGACAGAAGTACTGTACTGTTTTTGGGGGACAGGAGGCGGGCAGGTGTGGAGGACTCCCTGGTCCTGAATCGGGTAACTGTGCCCCTTAAGGACTAGGTGTGCAGCCTGGGAGTCATTTTGGACTCTCAGCTGTCCATGGAGGCGCAGGTCAATTCTGTGTCTAAGGCAGCCCTGTTTACCAGCTCCATCTGGTACGCAGGCTGAGACCCTATCAGCCCACAGACTGCCTCGCCAGAGTGGTGCATGCTCTGGTTGCCTCTCGCTTGGACTACTGCAATGCGCTCTACATGGGGATACCTTTGAAGGTGACCCAGAAACTACAACTAATCCAGAATGCAGCAGCTAGACTGGCGACTGGGAGCAGCCACCAAGACCACATAACACCGGTCTTGAACGACCCACATTGGCTCCCAGTACGTTTTCGAGCAGAATTCAAAGTGTTGGTGCTGATCTTTAAAACCCTAAACGGCCTCAGTCCAGTATATCTGAAGGAGCGTCTCCATCCCCATCATTCTGCCCGGACACTGAGGTCCAGCCGAGGGCCTTCTGGCGGTTCCTTCACTGCGAGAAGCCAAGTTACAGGGAACCAGGCAGAGGGCCTTCTCGGTAGTGGCACCAGCCCTGTGGAATGCCCTCCCACCAGATGTCAAAGAGAACAAGAACTACCAGACTTTTAGAAGACATCTGAAGGCAGCCCTGCTTAGGGAAGCTTTTAATGTCTGATGCATTACTGTATTTTAATATTTTGATGGAAGCCGCCCAGAGTGGCTGGGGAAGCCCAGCCAGATGGGTGGGGTATAAATAATACAACATTATTATTATTATTATTATTATTATTATTATTATTATTATTATTATTATTTAAATGGGGTGGTTAATTAGAGGCCAAAGGAACAGTAATGGCAAAGTGGGTGTGTCACACAATAGCATTTGGCTCAGCTGCCAAATATTTTACACTCCCAGCACATCTGGGAACCTCGCTTTTTGGAAAGACCTGCACAGATTTAGCTATCATTCCTGTCATTCCTTTTAACAACAGCAACAACAATAAAACACCAAACACTTGCATTATTTTTGAACGTATATATTTCCTCACAAAGTCTGCCTTTATCTACACATTTCAACTAAGCACATCCCTTTTTAATATGCATTTTGGTATGTATCTGAGCTGAAACCCAGTATGCAATATTTAGTGAACTGTGAAAACCAAAGTCTGCCTGTGTTCTGATCTGCATATTTTTTTCAGGACAGACACATCTACGTTGGTTCAATGAAAAATTCAGACAGAACAAAAGCTTCAAGGATCCCTAATCTTGATATCTTCTTGTGGTGGTTGGAAAAACCTATGAATGTGAACGATGACAAAGGGGTAATCCGGCTGCCCTCTGAGAGAACGAGGCTGTACTCACTTCATTCCTTTCCGTTTCAGTCCCACTCAAGCACTCGCTACCTGTTTATACTGAACATTTGAAGAGCCTCTCCAGAATGACCAGGCTAAGCCATGCTGCCTATGGGATGCATGACTGACATCAGCATAAAGGAGTCCTATAGGCCATCTGTCATGGATGCTTTAGCTGAGACTCCTGCATTGCAGAGGGTTGGACTAGATTACCCTTGGGCCCCTCCCAACTCTGATTCTATTATTCTATGCAGGTGGCTCCCTCCTTGGGGATGGAAACCCTAAATGAGCCCATGTCTTCTGCAGATCCCATTCATGCACTCAGTTGCCCAGAGTACCAAATGCCTGAGTGGGATTTACATTTTCATCAACTGCCTATCAAACCATTTGTTTTTTTCTTCAGTCAGTTTTGTCCCAATGAACAGCTGCATTGTGAATAGTTGTGTTAAGGAGCAGGCCTAGCTGAAACTGTTTCTAAGGCATGATTTTTCCCATTTCAGAACTTCCCATTTCACTTGCTGCAAGATATTTCTGTTCTGCCTTTCTAGGTTTCTGTCGCACTGTTCACATCTTTCTCCAAAGTAGATGAAGCAGGAACTTCTGGAGATTTTTCTGCAAAAGACAAATGTGGGACAGAGGGAAAGAACTAATGAGCAGAAGGTCAAACGACTATCCATGCTCAGTCTCCTGACTTTTGTTTTTAAGCAAAAGCAGAATCCCCCTCCCCACATTTTATGGTACCCTTCATGCCCCACTGAAGATGGGGTCTTAAGCTGCTTCAGGGGCAAAGCTCTCAGAGGTGGCTGAGGGGAACAGGTGTTCCTTTCCCTCCTCACTTTACCAATTTATTTATTTTTAAAAGCCCTTGCCGCTACTCCTACAATGACAATAACAAAGTTTCCTTTTCCACATCATGTCTCCTGTACCAGAATGCTGTGGGAGCTGATGAGGCCTTTTTTAAAAAGCAGAGGATGGGGAACCTGTGGCCCTCCAGATGTTGTTGGCCTGTGGTGATCATCCCTGACCAGTAGCCACTAAAGATAGACAGATCTGCCCATTTTGGTTCTCCCAGTTTCTCATTTCTTCATTCTTAAATTCAGTTCCTCACATTTCTGCAGCTGCCGGCAATTTAGGTGGAAAAGGACTCATGAAAATGTGTGTGGAAGATCATTTATCTATTCGTGTCGTTTTGTTAGGTTGTTTAATGTTCTTGCTGTTTTCATATGTTTCATTAGGCCAGTTGCCTGGGAAAACAAGGAAAAGAATTGAATTGTGAGCAAGTGAAGGCTGAGGGTTTGGGGCAGCCTTGGCAACTGTTGCTAAGAGATTTGGGGTGTTGGGAGAATGACCTTTGGAGGGTGGTTAAGCCAGTGAGGGAAGAGGAGAAGAGGAACCTTGGAGTACTGAGGGAACAATACTGCTGTGGGGAGTTTGTGGAGAACCTTTGATAAAAGAAAACCATCCTAAATTTCTTGAAGTGGCCACAAGGAGAACTGAATAGGACCGTGATGTGAGAAAGAACAGCTAGATGATGATCCGCTTTCAGCACAGGTGCCTGGTATGCTGAGGCAACTCTTTCTTGGAGAGGGACATATTTGGGCCTTGTTCTAGAACATTCTGGGCTCACAGAAGATAGCACTGGTTTCAAATTTCGGAGGGCCCTTGAACAAAGCACACATCATGAGGCGCCTTCTCTTACCGAGTCAACCGCCACTCTGGCATTATCACCGGCTGGTATTATTCACCTTTCTCCTCATTGCTACCACCGGCTTGTTTGCCAGATGGAGAAGCAAGCAGACAGGGACATCCACTGCTTTGCCTTTTCACCCACCCACCCCTTGTCTGAGCCAGGGTGACAGGCAGGTGTACAAGCAGGTTGCAACGGTGAAGAAGAGAAGCAGGTGGGGACGGATCCTGTCCATGGTCCCTCTCCTGGGGTGTGGGCCCAGAACCTATGCCCCACAATGCCACCTCTTTGTGCAGCCCTCACAGAAGTGTTGCCTACTCTCAGCGATATCCCTTCTCCTAGTGGTTGCACTGGGGGCATGGTTCTGATCACGCCAAGGCCACGGGTCTCATTCCCTCACGAGCCACCTGCCTATTCCTGTACTGCAGGGGCTTGCACTCAATGATCCTTGAGGTTTGTTCCAACTCTACAATTCTCTGATTCTGTTCTGTGATTCTAATCCAGAGCTGGGAACTGCATATGGTTCCTTTCCTTAAAGGGCTCTAATCACACCTGTTTGTGTGGCCTTGGAATGCAAGGAGCTCAGGAAATCGCATTGTGGGCTAGGTGACATCCGTTTGAGCTGGGCTGCCACATCTGCGCCAATGTGGAAGAACTTCTGCTCTGCGGCGTTGTAGACAGGCCACTGTGCCTCATCTCCCATGGACCCAGTGGGATTCCTGTAGAGGAAACAAAGAAATCAGAGCCATATCTCAGCCTCAGATTGGTTTGCAGGGTGAAGCTTCCAGTGTTGTATAATGTAATAAATAGATAAGCCACACCAGGATTTAAATGCTGTCTAAACCTTGCTCCCAGTGCTGCTGGGAGTGCTGTGCCACAAATAAAAGTTGCCCCATAGCCGACATCAGAAGTGGGCAGCTGTGCAAGGATTCCAGTTGCTGACAGCAATCCTGTATATGGGCAACAGATTCGCTTTAGGAAAAATGACTGTGTTTCTCAAAATGGTGCCCTCCAACCTAGGATCATACATGCTGTGGTAGAATCTTACTCACAGGTGCAGTCAGGCATTGTCCATGATAACTACAGCAGAGGTGGAGAACACCTTTCAGAGCAGGGGCCACATTACCTCATACATAAGCTTTAGGGAGCCAAAAGTGGGCCAGTCAATGGATGTGACTCTTGCCTTGTACAATAGGCTACATTCCTGCCATGAAAACATCAATCTCTGCATCGAGGCATGCAAGAAATATTACCTCACTTTAAGGGCATATTCCAGTCTGGGAAAAGCCCTCAAGGATGGCACAGAAGCCAGCAGGTGAGAGGGGTGCACTGGGGAGGGAGACGCCCAATGACTGGACAGAGAGAATCCCACCCGTCCTCCACAAAATGGAAGCCTTTTAGCAAAGGAAACATGCTGGGAGGTGGACAACCCACAACATTCAAGCTGAACCACATTCACAACCTGCGCAAAGGTGCCATCAATGACACAGATGATCCGAAAGTGTTTGACTAATGCCTTACCCGCTTCTGGCAAATTCTGCCCAGTATCGCATCACTTGGCGGCTCAATTCGGCTTCGGCAGCCTTCACCTCCGACCGGTTTGTTTGCAACACTAATTCCACGCTTCCAAACAAGTAAGGTACCTCAGCTCCATGAGGTGTCCCCGCCCATTCAGGCCAAATAGAGTCAGGATTGCGGTGGTCGAAGGAGTAAACATAAACTTGGTTCTTATCTTTCCCCACCTTCTCAGCAAACTCAAGCAGAGGGCACACAAAGAAGTAATCTCCCATATAATGACTCATGGCCAAACGATATTGTTCCGACCCATGGCTACCTTCAGTGTACTTCTGTATCACATCCTGGTCAACATTTTGTTTGGTTGCTCCTTTCAAAGTTCCATTGACTGCTCTAAGGGCCTGCTCCTGGGTCAGTATTGCATCCTTCGATGTCATGTTAGGAAACATAAAAAATACCATAGTTGACCCTTCATCAGCAGTGACGCCAGTGAGAATGGGTTTGCTGTGAACAAGGCCACTCTCCAGCAGCTTTGGGGGATCATCTGGGAGGAACTCCCCATCCGTTGTCAATGAGAAGAAAGTTTGCAAGGCATCAAACATTTTGCTGTTCATTTCCAACCCCTGTAGGCAGCTTATCATAGCACTGTGGTTAGCTTTAGGGCACCCCACAAGGCCACTAACCATCGCCGAATCTCTTAGGGCATCTTCAGGATTCTTCCAAGCCCAGGGGGCATTGGGAACTCCACTCTGAAGCACAGCACGGGCAAAAAGGGGTTGGCTTGCCGGTGAAAGCAGGTGGAAACCAACTGCGGCTCCTCCAGCACTTTCGCCAAAGAGAGTTATCCGGGTTGCATCACCGCCAAACACAGCTGCGTTCTCACTCACCCACTTCAGAGCCAGATGTTGGTCCCACAAGCCAACGTTTCCTGGGGCATCTGGCGGCATGTACAGGAAACCTAGGGTCCCCACACGGTAATTCATGGAGGCCACAATGACATTCTCTGTAGCTGCTAACAAGGCCCCATTGTACATATCCAAAGAGGCTGTGCCAATGATGAAACCCCCGCCGTAGATCCAAAGGAGGATGGGCACTGGTGTGGCTGGCCGTGGGTGGGGCACCCAGATGTTGAGGAAGAGGCAGTCCTCTGAAAGTGGTGTGTTAGCAGCAAATAGCTCTGCATATGGCATTTTTTCAATTTTTACCTGAAGGCAAGAATTGCCAAAGCTGGTGGCCTCCAAGACCTGGCTCCACGGCTGATGTGGAACTGGCTTCTGGAAGCGCAGTTTGCCTATGGGGGGCTCAGCATAGGGGATGCCCAGGTAGGCGGTCACAGAGCCAGAGCCAGCTGGGAGTCTTTTGCCTCTAATAGGACCGCTGCTGGTGACCACCACAGTATCATCTTCAGAGGCAGAACTGGAAGCCAGGAGGAAGAGGAGGAGGCACAAGGAGGAGGGTGAAATCCGGAAACAACACATAGTAGCTGCTGCTGAACGAATCGGAAATAAGGGTGGGTTGGGAAACATTAAAATATGGGACATTTGAATAATGCAACCAAGCCTGAATACAAGAAGAAACCCAAATGGAAGGGTCAGTATCAAACATATCTGCTTTTTGTATGTCCCTTCCTACAAAAGAACATATACCACAATAAAAACTCTTTAAGGTACCAGGGGACACTGTCCAGTATTTTGATGGTTTCTAGTCCCTGTACCGTCCTAAGCATATATAGTTATTAATTCCTATTTTATTTAACAGAAGTTTTGGTTCCTCTAAATTATGAATGCAACAGGTAACTGGGTATATCACATCTCTCGATCATGTACATCTGTCCTAACAGCTACAGTACACCTTAAATGGAGACATTGAGAAGTATCTTCACCTTGTTCAAATCTCCTGGGGAATCAACACCTGGATACTCAAAGCATCTCCAAACTGTACTTTAGCTATTCCACAAATAAGGTTTCTCCAGATCTATTGTTGTACAGTTTGACAGAAGGGGTTATCATTGAAATCGCCAAAGACAAACCCAACCCCAAAAAAGGTAAAAACAGCAACAACATTGACACTTATGAACTCAAGTTTCTGATTTACATTCCTATGGCAGGTCTTCTACCTGTTCTCCAAAGAACATTCCCCCATTCTCATCCATTTTAAGAGACACTCTGATTTGTGATCTAGAGTTGCTGTGGTTCCAGTTTTTGGTAATGTTCTGAGTTATCCCCCATGGCCAACTCACATCACATTTCTGTTCCTTACAGACTCACCCTGATGGGTTTCTCCTGCTCCTCAGTATCCCCTGCAACTCACTCTGAAGAGGAAAGTTAGGTACTGCTGAAGATCCAGAGACTCTTATGAAAAACACCTGGGTGTGGTAGCATCTGCCCATCTGTACGTAAGCAAAAGTCAATGACCAACTGGCTTTGCTCACCCAGTGGGAGGAGGCTACATCTTGGCAGGATCCGAATGTATGTCAGGGGTCAGAGAGACTTTGCTTTTACATAAATTGGGGGAAGGTCAGGGGGGGAGACAAAGGGCTGCCTCCAAAATAAGTCATACTCAGAGAAGACCCACTACAATTAAAGGACATGACTATGATAGGACCATTGATTTGTGTGTGTCCACTCTGAGTAGAACTTAAAAGGATTCAGCCCAAAGTTATTGCCATCCTCCTGTCCTTTGGCTACGGAGTAATACCAATGTCCACAAATACAACCAACGAGTAGCCTGGCTCTCAGAACAAGATGCAGTGCTTAAGTGAAAACTTGTGTGATTCTTCTGTCAGCACAAAGGGCTTGTCATGGGCCAGGAGTCGGCTTCACCTGCTGAAGCCCAAAGTTATTTCAATCCTTCTGTCCTTTAGCCATGGAGTGATACAAATGTCCACAGATACAGGGAAAGAGTGACCTGGAACTCCAATTCCAGGATTTTGGATTTTGAGAAGCAGCTTTCCAAGAATATACACCCATTCCTAAGGCATGTGCAGGCAATGAGATTTATTCCACTAACAACTAGTGGATCAGCAACAGATTAAGAAAATAGGGATTAATCCACAAATAGATTCTAATCTAGAATGCTCCAGCTTCTCCAAAGGTCCAGATACGCCAATGGCAGCCTGTCCCGTCAGGCTTTTCTCACAGTCAGTTTGGGGATGCAACCAATGAGTAAGGTCCTTCTAGATCCATAATTTGATAGCAGGTTAGCAAGGAACTCCAACCAGCAGGTGGCAGCAGAGATGTTGCAATAGCAACTGGGGTGCATTGCAAGAGGGAGCTCCAGCTAGGGTTGCCAAACTTCAAAAAGTAAAATTCATGACACCTGGGAGTTCCTAACAGCTTTTTGAGTTGTTACCACTGTTTTGCCCATCTGATGCCATTTTTAAACCCGAAAACCAGGACATGTCAGGAATTTTCCTGACGTATGGCAAGCCTTACGTCAGGAAAGGGGAAAGGGGACGCGGGTGGCGCTGTGGGTAAAAGCCTCAGCGCCTAGGGCTTGCCGATCGAAAGGTCGGCGGTTCAAATCCCCGCGGTGGGGTGCGCTCCCGTCGTTCGGTCCCAGCGCCTGCCAACCTAGCAGTTCGAAAGCACCTCCGGGTGCAAGTAGATAAATAGGGACCGCTTACTAGCGGGAAGGTAAACGGCGTTTCCGTGTGCTGCGCTGGCTCGCCAGATGCAGCTTTGTCACGCTGGCCACGTGACCCGGAAGTGTCTGTGGACAGCGCTGGCCCCCGGCCTCTTGAGTGAGATGGGTGCACAACCCCAGAGTCTGTCAAGACTGGCCCGTACGGGCAGGGGTACCTTTACCTTTACCTTTATGGCAAGCCTATAATTGCAACACTGGGAGGGGTTTACTGCAGTGCCCAGAATTGTTTGAGGGAAGAAATGTGCTTTGAATGTGCTTCAAATGAATATTTTATATGCAACTTGACTGTGTGTATGAGTCCCTAGCCTGAACTTCAGCTGGAGCCCTCCAGGGTTTGCCAGGAACCTTGGCTCTCTCTTTTTTCATATAATTTTTATTATTTTCATTAATAAAATAAAAACATAAAATATAACAACATTATAATAGCCATTTCTAAAACATTTGCTCCACCGAGTTCGTGACTTCCCTCCCTCCCTTCAACTGGTTTCTAATTTCCTGATAAATTATATACACATTTCTGCTGTCAGTTTCTGTCCTTCAGTACATCTCAAGTCCTTCTATTATCCATGGTCAGATACTATTTTTATATTATGTGGCAAGATTCATATCAATCCTGCTAGTGTCTTCACATTTTTGCAATAGTCTCTCAGGTACTCAATAAATTTACTCCAAACACTCTCTGGAATTTCTGTAGAATGATAATAACTCCTCTTGCACAATGGGACTCCCCACCCCCCAGGGCAGGCACCCCATGCCCAGCTAAAATCTTCAAAGTGATGGACAGAACAGGACAGAACCCCTGGAACAGATTGAGGGATGCATGAGGAGAGGAAAGGGGGATAATTTCCTGTTGCGCAAGCAGAAATCCTTTCGCTGATGGAATTTCCTATTCTTAGGAATCTGCGCACTTTTACTGTTTTGTGCAGGATCACACATCCTGACGGGGTCTGTGTGGGATTCATTTTTTTGTGAAGAGGGATATTAGCAAGGCCACACACACACACCCCTACGCACATCCCCTTCCGTTCCATGTAGCTGTTGCCGAATTTGGGTTTGTGGAAGTAGTTTGCAATCATGACATGAGGATGGGGCATGTGGGCAGGCTGTTGGACAACGTTATGTGAGGGGAAGTAGTCGACCAACTTCCTGTTTGACGGTAAAAAATGCTAAAATGAGCCAAATGAGCCAAAGGCAGACCTACAGAGAGGGAAAGAAAAGCAGGGATAGATTGCACATGGTTGCTTTCTTTACACTCTCTGGAATTTCTGATCGACTTGGTTGGTTCCAGATCCTCACAGTCAGTTTGGCTAACTCCACATAGTCCATCATCTTAATCTGCCACTCCCCGATCATTGGTAATTCTTGTGATTTCCACCTTTGGGCTAAAAGAATTCTTGCCGCAGTTACCGACAAAAGAAGAATGGAGGATGAAACTGATGGACTATGCAGAATTAGATAAATTAACAGGAAGAATTTGAAACCTGCGGGACCAGAGATTCACAGAAGACTGGTGTAAATTTACGGACTATTTGAAAAGTAACTGTGATGATCAGATTACGCTAGTAGGTTTGCAAGAAGTTTTGTAAGGTGAACTATTTGAAATATTGCAAAAAAGGTAATGAGGAGAATTGTTAGTTAAGATAATTAAAGGCAATATGAATTTAAGAAATGCAGAAGAAGTGATAAGAATGGAGGATCATCAGAGGTGCTGATGGAAGTCCAAAAAGATTGTATAAGAAGTGAAGTTCTGTTGTATGATTGATAATCAATATGCTAAAATTAATAAAAATTATTATTAAAAAAAGAATTCTTGCTGCAGTACATAAACAGCATACATAAACAGTCTTTGGTCTGCTTTTGTAATCTCTTCTCCCATCAACCCAAGCAAAAACACTTCCGGTTTTGGGGGGAAGGTATATTTTTAACTTGACTCTTGCATTGAACCTGAACTCTTGCTGGAGACTGAATCACCATCTGAATGTGACCACCCTCGGGAAGATAATAGCCATTGTGCATTTGAGAAGGGCAGTTAATGCCTTACCAGGCAAACTCTGCTCAATATCGCATCACTCTGCCATATATGTTTGTTTATGAATGCTCTACTAAATAAATGAATAAAGCAAGCAGTGTTCCACTGAAAAAATAATAATTATCCAGTACATATTGGTAGAGCATGAAACTCTTGATCTCAAGGTTGTGGGTTTGAACCTCACATTGGGTGGAAGAATCCTGCACTGTAGGGGGTTGGACTAGATGATCCTCATGGTCCTTTCCAACTCTATGATTCTGTTCAATGACTCTTTCTCTCTCTCTCTCTCTCTCTCTCTCTCTCACACACACACACACACACACACACACACACAACAGCTTAAATAAATGTTCTTGCACCACACCGCCACATTGTGAGGCACACGTAAAGGTAAAGGTAAAGGTACCCCTGCCCGTACGGGCCAGTCTTGACAGACTCTAGGGTTGTGCACCCATCTCACTCAAGAGGCTGGGGGCCAGCGCTGTCCGGAGACACTTCCGGGTCACGTGGCCAGCGTGACATCGCTGCTCTGGCGAGCCAGAGCCGCACACGGAAACGCCGTTTACCTTCCCGCTAGTAAGCGGTCCCTATTTATCTACTTGCACCCGGGGTGCTTTCGAACTGCTAGGTTGGCAGGCGCTGGGACCGAGCAACGGGAGCGCACCCCGCCGCGGGGATTCGAACCGCCGACCTTTCGATCAGCAAGCTCTAGGCGCTGAGGCTTTTACCCACAGTGCCACCTGCATCCCCGTGAGGCACACATATTTGTCTATAACATAGCAACCACATTTATTATAAACTTCCCCTTTTTCA